GGTGGGAAAGAAATGGTACAAGTATATGAAAATGTGCCCAAGACATCAGGGAAATATAAATCAAAACCACAATAAGGTATCATCTCACCCAGAATGGATATTATCAAAAAGATAAACAAATGCTGGTGAGGATGCCAAGAAAAGGGAACTCAACCAGGTACCAGTAGCTCACACTATAATCCTATCTACTTGGGAGGCTAAGATTGGGAGGATCATGGTTCAAGGCCAGCCTGGGCAAATAGTTTGTGAGGCCCCCAACTCCAAATTAACCAGAGCAAAATTGATTGGAGGTGTAGCTAAGCAGCAGAGTCCCTGCTTGGTAAGCATGAAGCCCTGAGTTCAAACCCCAGTCCCCCCACCCACACACAAAGAAAAATGGAAAGAAAAAAGAAAGAAAAGGGAACTCATACACTGTTAGTGGGAATGTAAATTAGCACAGCCATTGTGGAAAACAGTGTGAAGATTCTTAAAAAAAAAAAAAAAAACTAGAAATAGAACTGCTATATAATCCAGCAATCCCACTACAAGGTGTATATTCAAAGAAAATGATACAGGTTTGTCAAAGAGATACCTACGTTAGCATGTTTGTTGTAGCTTCATTCACAATAGCCAAGATATGGAGTCTACCTACATTCCCATTGATGGATGAATGGATAAAGAAAATGAAGAATATATACACCATGGAATATTATTTATCCATAAAAAAAGAATGAAATCCTGTCATTTTTGGCAACATGGATGAGTCTGGAGGACATTACGTGAAATGAAATTAATAAGGCCCAGCAAGACAAATACCGTACATTCTCAATTTCATGTGGAAGCTGAAAGTTGATCTCATAGAAGTAGAGAGAAAATAATGCCAACTAGAGGTTGGAAAGGGTGAGGAGAGGGAGGATAGTTAAGAGGTAAAGAAATAGAGTTGGATAGGAGGAATGACTTCTAACGTCATAAAGCACGGGAAGATAACACTGAACAACAATTAATTGTATGTTTCAAAAATAGCTAGTAGGGAGGATTTTGAATATTCTCTACAAAGAAATGATAAATGAGGTGACGGATATGTCAGTTATGGTGATCTGATCATGAATATGTACTGAACAGCACACTGTACCCCATAAGTATGTGATTATCCTATGCCAATTAAAATGTGTTTTAAAAAAGAAAGAAATGGCACAAAGTTTTTCAAGGGTTGAAAGAAAAGAATGGTCAACTCAGAATTGCACATCCAGTGAAAATATCCTTCAAGAATGAAGGGCAAGGGGATTGTTATTTTAAAATTTGGGGGACAGTGACCAAAATTGGATCATTTTTCCTTGGGAAGTCAACAGCAAACAGCAAGACCAGGGGAAGTAGTTTGAGGGAGAGGGAGGGCATGGGGGACTGATAGGAAAGTTGAGGGAGGATTTGGAGAATAAGGAAATCCTGATACTTGAGGTATACAAAGCCATCCTTATCAGGAAAGGTTTTCTTTGAAATGTGTGGGGCTTGGGCATCCCAATCCTGCTGAGTTAAGTCTTCACTGCCCATACTACAATCAAATGCAATGTGTGCACTGTGTTTGGATTTTGAGTCAAACAAACCATTGTAAATGAAACAAAACAATTTCTTCTAACAGCTTTCTAAGGTATAACAGACCTGTAATACATTGCATATATTTTAAACGTACAGTTTGATAAGGGTTTTTGTTTTGCTATTCTGTGAAACCAGCACTGAATGCACATATTGCCCCCAAGAGTGTCTTTTTTGCTCCTGTGGGATCCCTCTCTCCTGCTCTGCCATGTGTTGTCCATCTTCTTTCTGTTACTAAATTTCTATTTTTAGAATATTACATAAATGGAATCATACAGAATATACTCTGATATAACTTCTTTATTCACATAAAAGTCTTTGTATGGACATATGCTTTCATTTCTGTTGGAGAGACATCTGGGGATAGAATTGTGTGCATGGTAGGTGCACACTTAGCTGTGTGTGTGTGCACAGTACTGGGATGGAACCTAGGACACTGCACTCTGTACCACTGAGCTATACCCTCAGCCCAAACTTTCTAACTAAACTGGATGAGAAGCCTAAATGTGAAACCTAATTTTGTAAACATAAGAGGTCTTTTAGCTATGACAACAAAGTATGATTTATAAAAGAAAAAATGATAATTGAATTTCCTCAAAAGTAGGAATTATGCTCATTAAAAAACACTATTAAGAAAATGAAGAGGCAAGTCACAGACTGGAGGAACTATCACATATATGATAAAGAACTTAAGCCAGGCATAATAGTTCATGCCTGTAATCCCAGCTACTCAGATGTAGAGATCTGGAGAATTGTGCTTCAATATCAACCAGGGGAAAAACGTCAGTAAGACTCCCATCTCAATGAATAGGCCAGGCGTGCTGGTACATATCTTGTCTGAAGTCAAGCCCCAGGTAAAACGTGAGATCCTATGTGAAAAATTCCTAAAGCAAAAGGGCTGGGGGTATGGCTCAAGCTGTAGAGCATCTGTCTAGTACTGAGTTCAAACCCCAGTACCACCAAAAAAAAAAAAGTTATGAAACCTTGTACTGGGTAATGGAAATCAGAGTCAAAACTTTCTAGAAACTGTCACACCTTCACAGAAAGCTCACTCTTCTAATCACACAAGTGACAGCATCAGAGAAGATGAAAAGAATGACTTCCCTGGATGGAAGGAAAAATTGGTGTGTGAAGAAGAATCTTCCAAAGAGGAGTCTGACAGTGACACTGCAGTAAGGAGTCTGGGATGAAGCAGAGGAAGAGAAAGAAAGGGAAAAGATGGAGGTGTTGGTGAAGAGGAAGGAGAAGAAGATGAGGATGCTGAAGAAAAAGAAGACAATGGTAAAAACAGAGATGAGGTGAGTGAAAAAAGAGCTAAGTGGAGATTGTGATTTAGATCCTAAAAATGAAACTGGAGATGGAGCAGAAAAGAAAGCCAGTCACACTGTGTAAGCTCTGGCTCACCTTGCTCAGTGCTGCCCTGTCCTCCCTACAGGGTCGTATTGTGCCGGGAGGCCAAAGACCACTGCACATTGCCAAGTTCACAGTGGTTATTCCCATGCCACCTTGCTATCCTGAGTGCCCCAAACTTTAACTGTATAAAACAGAGTGTTTCATTCAAATGGTGATAACCTTTTCACAATAAATAGATGAGGGAAGGAGGGAGGATGGATGGATTGTGTTGGGGTGTTGCTTGTAGTAGAGTGAGTGCTTAGCAACACTGAGTTCCTGGTTTCAAACCCAGCATGCCCCTTCCCTCAAAAAAGAAATTGTAACATCTTTCAGGTATAAGGTGGTCTTATGTTATATTGGTTAGAAAGTCCTTTTCTGTTACAGATACATATGTAAGTATAGGAAAAAATATTTAATATTTGAGATTTTCTTTAAAACACTTGGGGAGAAGGGATGAAATAAAATTGATAAAATGTCTACAATTATTGAAGCAGGTTGATGAGTACGGAGGGTTATTATAATATTTCCTCTATTTACGTATGCTTAAAAATTTCTGTAATTAGAGGGGCTTCTTTTCAAATTAAAAAAGACCAGTGGAGAAATGGAGGAATTTTAAGGACTGAATGATGTGACCATAATGGTGATTTAGAATCATTACTTTAGCTACAGTGGGAAGAATGGCTTCCTGAGGGGCAAAAATGAAGACAGTAACTGGCTAGAGAGCCACCCAGTGCTTCAGGAAGAGACCAGGTGGTCTGAATTCAGTGGGATGGAGCTTAGGAGTGGACTGAAAAAATGGTGATATCTGGAAGTGAGAACTGGATAAAAGGAATCCAGAATTCACACTGGGTAAGTGATGCCACTTACGTAGCCAGGGATCACGGGAAAGGGCACAGGTCTCCAGTAGAGCAAAGGTTTAAACGGCCTTGGGTCAGATAGTGTATCAGGTCAGAACTCAGTGGATAGGTGAAAGCAAGATATCTAAATAATCATTTCTTTTCAACAGCGGGGTGGACAGGGAAGACCTGTCATCTAAATCTAACTTGGGTGCGTGATACAATTATTCTGTGTACTTTTTTGTGGGTTGGGAGAGGGTCTTGGAGTTTGAGCTCAGGGCCTTGCACTTGCTAGGCAGGCGCTCTTCCACTTGAGCCATGTTTCCAGATATCTATGATGCAATTATTTTGAACCAATCTGCAGCATTAATAGGCACAAGATAAAATGGTGTGACAATATTTGCACAGACAAGTTATTTACACACTTTAAAGTACGTAAATATAATCTATAACATATGTAATTAGAGGCAGGATGCAGCTAAGTTCACAGTAGGTGAACGGGACTGGAAACCTAACTCTCTTCATGAGAATGCAGCTTAGAGACGCCCGAGTGGAAAAACTTTTTCTCTTGAAATTGCAAGGTGGTCCTGGAGCTCCTCAAAGGTGGGAAGGAAGGAGCAGAGAGCATGCATGGGGTTACTGAATCTATGGGACGGGGATGAGTGAGGGGGGAACTAGACTGGCAGTAGTGTTCTACTCACAGTCTTCTGGAAGATTCGAGGTGAGGTGACAAGTGACCTGAGAGTGCACGGAAATCTGGCGTTTAAAAGTTTTCTCCCACCAGCCACGCCAGGGTGGAGGAGTTCTAGCAGGCACTTTCTGTAAAGAGACTTGTCCCCTGAAAACTATGCAATTTGGAGTTGTCGTTCCAATCTGCTTGACTTGGTCTCCCACCTTTGTGCGTCCCTAGCGCCCCCTATCCCACCCCGGCAGGGTAGGGGTAAGGCTTTCCCCCTGCCCGGCGCTCTAGCCTCGGGAGTCCGCTGCAGGTGCGGAGCCCCGCCCACGGACCCTCCCGTGCTCGTAGCCCCTCCCCCAGGACGTTCTCTCGCTCGAGGCCCCGCCCCCAGGCCTGTCGCCTATTCGAGGCCCCGCCCCCAGACCATCTCCCGCACGGGGCCCCGCCCTCAGGCCCGCCTCCCACTCGAGGCCCCGCCCCCAGGCCCGTCTCCCGCGCGCGGCCCCGCCCCCGAGCCCGCCAGGGCCCACCGCCACCGCGCCCAGGCTGCCCCGGCTCGGCCACCGCGCAGCCATGGCTGGGGGTCGTGGGGCCCCGGGGCGCGGCCGGGATGAGCCTCAGGAGAGCTACCTACAGCGACAAGACCACGAGCTGCAGGCCCTGGAGGCCATTTACGGCGCCGACTTCCAAGACCTGCGGCCGGACGCGTGCGGACGGGTAGGAACGTGGCTAGTCCGGCCTCCCTTAGCCCTGGGCCGGAACCCGGACGCTCCTACATCCGGAGGCCCTTTAGGACCCTGCAGTCGTTCCATCCCTCCAGTAGTACCCACGCTCACTGTCCGTCTTTGCACCCGGCAGGTCTCCAGGGCCTCCACCTGGGCCGAATCTCTTCCAGCCCGCGCCCCGGGTCGTTCCCTGTTCCTGGGCCCTGCTGGTCCTCTTTACCTAACCTTACCTAACGTCCCCGCCCCCAGCCCTGGAGGGAGACACCACCGCGCATTCGTGGTCACCCGTTGTCACTTTGTTCTGGGGACGCCTTTTGGGCGCTCGCTCGCAGGCCTTCTGCTCATCCAGAGCCCCAGGTCTCACCGTGTACTCGAAACTGTACATCTTGTCATCCTCGCTGCTTCCGGTGTGCAGGAACTTTCTGTGCCTTCCTCGGAGGCATTTGGCCGAGGGTAGAATGCATTCATCTCAGCTGCAATGGAGAGGACTTTAAAGTGGCATTTGGCTTAAAATATGGCATTCTTGTTTGTGTGGAAGTTAAGACACACTATAAGCTGCTGATGCTGACCATTTTTTCCCCCACAGTCCTTGAAGAGTTGATCTGCAAACGAATGTTCCTGAGTATTGCCAATTAAAAAGCAATATCTGCCTTCCTTCTGCCTTTCATTCTGGCATTTCACAGCATCTGCCTTCTCTATACATTCCGGATTTCCTCAAGAAATAGGCTCTCCTGGAGGTATCAGCACAAGCTTCCTCCTCTCTTCCACTGTGCTGCTTCCTTCATTAAATATTTGTTTCAGGGCGTGGGAATTCAGCCACAGACCAGACAACAAAAGCTCTGCCCTCGGGGAGCTTTCTTTTCTAATGCTTACTGTCCAAGAGTTATTTTTAATTTTGTATCGTCCTTATACTCGTTTATAGTAACATGGTAAGATAACTTTCGGATCATCTGGCAACTTCTCTGTTCATAAATACTGAGAACCAGGAAGTAGGACCCTTAAGCAGCCAAAATAGGTGTCACAAAATGTGCACTTGGCTCCATGCAAACCCTCTAAGACTTCATTCACAGCCAGTTTATTTACTTTATTTATCTGTTCCTAAAGCAGAAAAACAGAAGGGGAAAAAAAGCAGCTACTTTTAGGCAGCAGTACCGATAAACTCATGAATTTACAGCTGATAACAATATGCCCAAGAATTTACAGCTGGTGGCCTTTGTAATAAGATAGAACACTACACAAAGCTCACAAAACAATAAAAGGCAAACAGAAACATTCAGAAATCTACTGTGGCCCTGGAGCACAGGGAGTATGCCCTTGACACTTTCATAGGCCTCACAGGCAAATAATTGATGGTCATAAGGATGAATCAGAATTTACTCATTGGACAAGTGCTCATTAGCACCTGCTGTTTACCAGTCTTCAAGGTTATACAGGTCCACAGTCCTCTATCCAAAACCCTGGGGGCCTGGTGGCTGTCAGAGTTCAGCAGTGTTCCTGTTTGTGTTCATAATGCACAGTCCACACTTCCCCATACCCCTCTCCACATCTGAGGGAGTGTCCAAAAACAAACACAACATGTATGAATACTCAAATTCCAAGTCAAACAGAATAAAGACTATTAGTAACCTCACCTCAGATCAGGCCAAATTTGTTGCCAATAATTTCAAATCAGATATTTTTTAACTTTTGGGAAGGATATGTTAAAAAGTAAATTTCAGTTTAGTAGCATATGTGTGTCATTCATAACTAAATATTTTGGTGTACATACTAGAAATTATTTTACGTACAAATAAGTTTAGACACCAGTAGTTTAACTTCAACTTGTCATTTAAAGACAGTTTCAAATTATTACTAACGTATTCATTTTGGCTAGCATATCAGCAAAGCATCTGCTCACTTATAACTTGTTAGCTCTTGCAAATGTTTCTCCAAAATGCTTGCTGTCCTGGGCCCACCTCTGGTGTATGAGGCACCTTTTTTTCTTCACTTTCACCAGCATTGTATGTATCACACCTTTTCACCTTTTACTGTATAAAATGAAATATATCTCATTTCAAGTTTTATTTCTTTGATTATAGATTATATAGGCTACCTTTGTAAGTCATCAAGTTTCCATTTTTTACAAATTGTTTGTGCTCTTTGATTTCTTTTTCTGCTCTGAGATACACTTATTATTCGTACAAGCTAGATATGTCAAGAAAATTAACATTGGGTCAGGTATTACAAATATTTGCCCTTAATTAACCATGTGTATTTTTCATATTTATTTATCTTGTGTAGTTTTAAAAATATTTCTCCTGGTGGTACTCGGGTTTGAACTCAGGTCCTTGAGCAGGTACTCTACCACTTGAGCCATTTTCCTAGCCCTTTTTTGCTTAATTAGTTTTCAAGTAGAGTCTTCTGTTTTGGCCTGGGGAAGACCTGAAACTGCAGATCCTCCTACCCACATGTCCTTTGTAGCTGGAATTACAGGTGTACACCACCATGCCTGGCTTATTTGTTAAGATGAGGTTTCACTAACTTTTTGCCCTGGTTGGCCTCAAACTGTGATCCTCCAGATCTCTTACAGGCGTGAGCCATTACACTTGGCCATCGGTTTTTAAATGTTATTAGAATCAAAATGAACTAATTTTCCCTTTTTTTATTAGCGTACATTAGTTATACAAAGGGCCTTCATTGTGTTATTTCCATACATGCATATAATGTACTTTGATCAAATTCACCCCCTCTATTTTCAAAATGTTTTGTTTTATGGGTCCTGTGTTTTTTTTGTTTTTGTTTTCCAAGAAAAGACTTCCCATGCAGGAATATAGCTCAGTGGTAGAGCACTTACCTACTCTGTGTGAGCCGCTAAGTTTGATCACCAGTACTGGGGGTGGGGGTGGGGAAGACAGGCATAGTGATGACATTCTTATAATCCCAGCCACTCAGGAGGCAGAGGCCAACCATGGGAAAGTTAGGAAGACCATATCTCAAAAGCAAATAAAAGCAAAAAGAGGTGAGGGGTATAGATCAAGTGGTAGAATGCTTGCCTGGCAAGCACAAGGCCTTGGGTTCAATCCCCAGTACTGTTAGAAAGAGAGACACTTCCCTGCTCTATTGTTACCAAAAAATGAAACCTTTGAGATTTTCTTTTCATTCTTTCATGACTTCATTTGTAAACTTCCCTAAAATAAATGTAGAAATAGTTTTTTTTAATACCATCTTAGCTCAAAGTATGGCTGTAGGCCACCCTCAGCATGTGCTCTCCCACTCTCTCAGCTAGTCAGACAGCAGGTGAGTTTTCCAGTCTTTGCCATTATGATTTGGGAAATCATACTTTTGTATTCCAGGAAACTGCTAACTTGGTGAAGACAGGGTCTGTGTTACTTGTTCTCCTTAAACTCCTGGTTCTCAGGAAGAAGCTCATACTGAGTGAGGTCATCATTCTCAAATGTAGTTGCATCTGCTTCTTGACACTGTGTTCCATCTCATTAATCTACTCAACCTCTAATCTAAGCAACCTCTGTCCCATTGCTATAATTAAAGAAGATTTGTAACAAGTCTTAGTGTTTAATGTGGTTGCCATTTGAATTTTCCTAATTTTACTTTAGTTTTTCCATTTGAATGTTAGAATCAGCTTGCCTGGTGTCTAAGTTCCTTTCCTGCTACTATAACACAAGACCACAGACTGGGAAGTTTATAAAGTACAGAGATTTATTTCTTGTACTTCTGTACAAGATCATGGACCTGGAAAGTCCATGATCAAGTGAGGGCCTTCTTGCTGCATCTTTACATGGTGGCAGACATCACATGGCAAGGTAGAGCAAACACACAAGCTCAGGTCTTTCATCATGGGTGTGTCATCTCCAAATACCATCAAAATAAGAATTTGGAGATTAAGTTTCCAACACTTGAGCTTGGGGGTGGGGGGGCACATTCAAACTATAGCACCTGGTCCCAGAAATTCCATCAGCATTTTTATTGGACTAGCATATATTTAGCTTGGGGAGAATTCAGATTCTGAATATTTGAATGTTTATTTCAAATGGAGCTATAGGTCATTAATATACTTTAAGGAACCTAGTGTTTTTTAAATTCTCACTTGACAAACAGGCATATACTTGAGAACAGAAGATTAACTTAATCTTTATGAGGTCAAATATAGAGTATTCATTTTTTAGAAAAAAAGGAATGGGGGAATCACTAATTACAGCATTTCATACACAATCTCAGGAATGTTCTCTCCTTCCATTTTCTGAGCTTTTACTGTCATCGTTTTTGTTTTTGGATTTTGCACAGATTTAAAACCGAAGACTTGCCCAGATTTTCTGGCTTCCTCCTAGCACTTTATTTCTGGATTTGTTCTGCTTTCACGTGGAATAGTTTCTTCCCAGTGTAGAGAACGGAAGGAGAGAAACAAGAGGCCTTGCTGGACAAAGTCTTGCTATCAAATTAAAGGAGGGTGTGATTAGCAGAAACCTAGGTAGCAATTCCACACCACATAGCCAAAGTGATTTGAATTGTGTACCTGTCTCTCTTTTAAATAATTGTGGTCAAAAACATCTCACCCATCTCTACGTGTGCAGTCGGGTAGTGTATGCACACTGCTGTGTGATGAGAGGTTGTTAATTCTCCAACCTTGTCATCACTTGCCTATTCATTTTGTAAATCAGTGCAGTTTAGTTGTGGGTCTGTCATTGACCTTCATGCTTCAGCCTTTGAATCTTGGAACCAGAAGATTTCCAGCTGTGTGGAGTGGTGAACACTCTCAGGTGTTCAGCCTTTCCCTTCTCTCAAGTACTTTTAGCAGGCCTATGCACATGCCTAAACCAGTTTGTTTAGGAGATGCCCACAAGAAGCTCTGTTAGGTAGCTTTCTGTTATTGTAACAAAATACCTAAGTTAATTTTAAAAGGAGGAAATGTTGTTTGGGCTCACAGTTTTGGAAGTTTCAGCCCATGGTTAGTTGGCCGTTGCTTTTGGGCCTTTGTCAAGGCAGCACATCCTGGTGAAAACGCCTGACAGAAGCAACCTGTTCACTTATGGCCACTTCCAGGGCATGCCTCCAGTGACCTGAGACCCCCATCTAGGTCCCACCCCGTAAAGGTTCCACCTCTTCCCAGTAATGCCAAACAGGGGATGAAACCTTTAATGCATGGGCATTTGGGGGAATGTTTAAGTTCCGAATTATAGGAGAAGCACATTTGAACTGCGCAGCAAGGATTTCTAGCTGGGCTCCTCCTGGAGATGTGAGTGTGCTGAATAGGAATAGGGGTTCCTATTCCTGTAGGTATTTGAAGATCCTTGGTGGGAGCAGGGGTTGGGTTTTAGTTATTTTGTTTCTTGAGGAACTAGTACTATTTACTTATTTATTTATTTATTGCATGAGTTCCAAATGAGCGTTGCCTCTCTCCTGTTTTAGGCCTGGGTTTGCATCTCTCCTTTGCTCTTTATGTCTGAGGATCTGCTGTCTCAAATTCGCCTCCTGCCCGTTCTCCCTTTGCTGTGTAGTTAGCCACCAACAGAGGCTGAATTGTTATGGTAGCCTTTTATAATCCCCAGCAGTGCTAGGGATTGAACCCAGGGCCTCACGTAGGCTAGGCGAGCACCCTACACTGAGCTGCATCCCCAGCCCCTTCACAGTGTTTTTTACTTCTCTTCCTTTTGCCTATTCTTTCTTTATTCAACAGCCAAAGTGATCTTTTAAAATATATGTTAGGTCCTATCATCCCTGTCTTAAAATCCTGCAAATAGTCTACATGGCTGCCAAGGCCTTGTGTAATCCCTTATTTCCTGTCATTCCTGGTCTCCATTCCCCTGTGTCCCATGCATTCTGGCCTCCTTTTGGTCTTTGGAATGCACTGGTCTCTTGCTTAGTTGTGAGCCCCTTTAGCTGCTGTTCTTGGTCCCAGACCAGTCATCACTTAAATGCCACATGCTCACATAGATAGATGTCCCTTGATGACCACATTTTAGTGTGTTCCTTCACATCCACCCTAATCACCATGTCATCTCTTCAGCAGCACTTTGTAAGCTTGTACTTATGTGTTTATCATGTTTGTCCCTGCCCCCCTCCATCAGACAGGAAGTTCCATGACAGGACCACGCCTGTGTTCCTACACCCATGTACTAGGCACATGATGTAGAATCCATACTTAGCAGGTGTGGGTGATGGGTGCACAGTTGAAGGATGAGTGGACAAAACGCCTTGTGGGCCATAGTCTGCTGCCCCTCCCCTGGGCCACATTCACAGAATCCTGCTTTATGGAGGACCCACAGTTCTTGTCAAGGGTTATTATAAAGTCACATAAAAACTATGTCATAGATTTCAGACACATAGGTGATGGGAACGTTGTTCATTATGTGATTCATGGTACCATATGTAAGACATATGTAGAAATTAGTGTTGCTAAGTACTTTGTTGCCCATATAGAAGAACTTTTAGGTTTTTCTCCTTTCTGATGTGATCACATTTCTCTCTTTGCCTTGGCTGCCTGGATGTTCAGAGAAAAAGCCAAGGCCCAATTACATCAACTCAGGATTACCATTCTTACAGGAGTGATTTCAGAGCTGGCTTTGAATTCCAGCTCTGTCACTGTGTATCTGGGTGAGGGTATTAAGCTCCCAGTGTGAGCTGCTTTGTCTGTGCAGTGACATCCCTTACCTTTCAGGTTGTGCAGTGCTTGGACCACAGGAGGCTCATAGTCATTTTCTCCCCTCAGCTCAGCTCACCATTTTTCAAATGTCAACATGTCTCAGATCCTTTTTCGAGACTGTGTGTCAATAAATTAAAGAACAATAGAGTATTTGATAATTGATGAAAAGCAGCTGGTTGGAAAAGCATATGTAACCTGGGTGTGGTAGTACATGCCTTAGTCGTAGCACTCAGGAGACAGAGGCAGGAGGACTTCAAGTTCAAGTCCGTCCTGTGCAACATAGCAAGACCCCCGTCCCCAAAACAATAGCAAAGCAAAGCAAAACAGCATATGCAATTTTAGCAGAGCTATCAGATTTCTCCATGTCAGGGGTTTTCCCTTGTTAATATCTCATCATTCAAATATAGGTCGAGCATCCTTAATTGAAAATATGAGTTGTAAAATTCTCCAAAATTCAAAAATGCATTTAAAGTCTCTGCAATGAATATGATCAAAGTTCTTCATATGTATTGTATAGCGTAAGGAAGCCCACTAAAAGGGAGGGGAAGAGGATAAGAAAGGGTAACAGAGCAGGTAAATTTGACCAAAGTACATTATATGCATGGACGGAAATATGACGAAACCACCTTGTATAATTAATATATGCTAATAAAAAAAGAGAGAGAAAAAGTCTATGCAAATATTCCAAAATCCAAAAACCTCTGAAATTGAGGCATTCCTATCCCAAGCATTTTAGAAAAAGGATGCTCAGCTTAGATCCCCTGCTTGCAGAGGCCTTCCCTGCCTCTTTCTCCTATCCCACTTTCTCCTATCCCGCTGCTGTGACCTACGACATTGCTTATTTTCTTTACAGCTCTCAATACTTGAAATCCTTCATTTGCCTTCTAATTTGTGTCAGCTGGTGGGGCCTGCCTCTCTAAATTTAACCGACTTGTAGTCTTCAGGACAGTACCTGGCACATAGTTGACACATGATAACGTTTGAATAAAAGGAAGCTGAGTGAAATATTTTGACTGTGTACTTTGATAACTTTGAAAAGGGAAATGTATTTTTTCTAGCACAGATTTTATTTTTATACCATGATTTTGGAAAATGTGATTCCAATACCTACATAAAATATAATTACACATAATATTTTGGAAGTAGAACTTTTGCGCTAAGGTGATCATTATCTTAATTGTTATGATTAGTTCTCTACCCAGTACAACTATTATATGCTAATAAAAAAAAAGTGGTGGGAAAGTAATACAGACTCTCTAGAAAAAAATTGTTTTTGTTTTCTCTTTTAGGTCAAACAGCCCCCTGAAATCAACCTAGCACTGTGCCCTCAGGGCCTAACTGGTGACGAAGTATATGTGAGAGTGGACTTAAGAGTTAAGTGCCCACCCACCTATCCAGATGTGTGAGTGCCTTTATAAACAGCTCTGCAGTGATTTTAGCTTTCTGTTTTGAAGCAGATTAAAATTAAGACTATTTTCGCCTTCCTTCTCCCTACTTCACATGGAACTTCACTCTCTATCACCTGTGTCTCAACAAAATTTCATCAGCTAAACATTTCCTGAAGCCTGTCTGGCTTCCAGTCTGCTTTGAGTTGTGGAATGTCCCTACAGATAGAAACATTTGACCAATGCCTGCTTGTTTGCTTCTTCTGTCCTGTTAATGTTTATTTAATCCTTTATAAAGTAGGAAGAAGAAAAATCTAGAAGAAAAGGAAAAAGGTGTGGCAACTGTTAAAAGCACTGTGTACTTAGTTTGAAAGTAGATTGCCATTATAAATTAGGTGGCCTTAGAGCCTGCCATGACTTCTGACTGCCTAGAACAAAGAAGTGTTTAGAGTTGTGGCACTCCTTAGTGGGTGTTCCTGACAGGTGTTCATTGTACAGGGCTATCCCCTGTGCTGCAGGACCTTTGCATCCTTGGCCCCTAATTACCATACCTGGTCCCTGCCCACTAATGCCAGGAGTGTTGTTCAGTCCTTGAGACAACCAGAAACCACACTTATTCTCAAACTCCCCTGAAAGGCAATATCACCTCTGGTTGAGCAACAGTGTTAGCCATCAGGACTCAAGTAGTCTCTTTGAAGTATCATCTATTTTCCACAAAACCCTTCTCCAGACCTTCCACGTGGAAAAACAGATTGGCCTGTGTGAAGTTAAGTGGTTTGAACTCACTGTTCGGGACCGGTGAAGGGTTTTGAGAAGGAGAGTGGCAAATGGAATTCAGTGCTGCTCTCCACGATAGGGGTAAGGTTTTGGACTTTGTTGTCCAGAGAGGTGATGGAGGATATGGAAAGATGGATAGATCAAGGCTGAGAGTCTTGAAGTCAGTAATCCTCTTTTGCCCTCAACATTGTGCTGAGAGTATACACAGTAGGTATGCAGAAGATTAATTAATTAAAAAAAAGTAATTACATTCATGAAAGAGAATGAAGACAGTGCCTCTCTAGGGTTTTACTGTGTTTTTGGTTTTTGGTTTTTTCCTGACAGGACTCCAGCAACTCAGTTCTCTTCTGATGCTAACTTTTCATAATTAGCACAGAGCCCATAGGTTAAGCGCTCAGGTCCACAAGCCTGTTCCTACCTCAGGCACTGGTTCCAAGTACTTTGACTTGCAAATTCTGGCTGTAGATTTAGGGGTTCCCACTACCTCTTCCTCAGATTTAATAATTTTCTAGAATGAGTCACAGAACTCAGGAAAATACTTACTGACTCATTATAAAGGATATGATTCTGGAGCCGCCATGTGAGAGGGACCTAGGGCATAGCATGGGAGAGGACATGAGCTTCCATGCCCTCCCCAGGCTGCTCCCCTCCAGTACCTCCATGTGTTTACCAACCTGGTCTCCCAGAACCCTGTCCTTCAGGGTCTTATGAAGGTTTCATTCTAGGCATGATTGCCTAGTTAAGTTACTGGCCATTGGTGACTGAACTCCTGCAACCCCACTCTCCTCAGGGACCTGATCCTGAAGGCAAGGCTTGACCTTTCTGGTCTGACGCTGCCCCGGCACCCAGCAAGAGTCAACCTCACCAGCATGAACTCTGCTGTGTTTGAAAGGGGCTTGTTATGAAGAGCATAACATGCTCCCCTCCCCTGTGTCACGCAAGAGAGTCTTAAGGGTAGGAGGGACTCTGTACCAGGAACTGGGGTCAAAGACCACAGAGTATTTGTTATTATGCCGTAGACTCAAGAACTCAAAATGCTTATTCTTGAAAATTCAAAATAAAGGAAAACCTTGATATGGAAGTGATAAAATGTTCATTGTAGAATTATTTTGAAGGTGAAGCTATTGGAGCCAGGTGTACATAGTCCCAGCATTTGGGAGGCTGAGGCAGGAAGATTGCGAGTTGGAGGTCAGCCTGGGCTACATAGCAAGATCCTGTCACAAGAGAAAGAAAGCAGGGAGAGAGGAAGGGAAGAGGAGAGGGAGGGAGAGATTGAGATGGAAAGAGACTGAAGGGAAGGGAGAAAGGAAGAGAGGAAGGAAAGGAAAGAGAAGGGGAAGGGAAAGGAAAGGAAAGAATCCGAAGCAGTCCAAATGTTAAACACTGTTTCTTATTTCTTAGCCTGGTCTTGCTGAGAGGGCACCGGGGGCCACAATGGCTCTGGTGGTCAGCCAGTACTGTAGAGACCAGCTCAGTACAATAGACTGGCTCAGGTGAATCCTGGTGTGTCTACTTGATAGCACTGTCATTATTGTGGAATGACTTTTTAAATAAAATGTTAAAAAGTAACCATAATGTCAGCTCCATAAAATTATTAATTATGTAACAAGGACATAAAATGTTAGAAAAATATAAGCTTAATTAGTATTACTGATGACTTTTTCACTATTCTATTAGCATTGCTGTATAATGTTTGCTTTATTTTTAAAAGACTATTGTGTAAGGCTTAAGGTTTAATTTGAGTGAATATTCCTTTTTTCCCTTTTTTTTTTTTTTATTGTGCTAGTGGTACACTGTGACATTTACGAATGTTCTTACAGTATGTCATAGTTGAATAGTTGAATTTACCCCCTCCCTCCATCATTCTCCTTTATCCTGGCTCCCTCCCTGGGGGAATATTCTTGTTCTTTTACTTTTTGGTGGGGAGGGGAGCAGACTGGAGTTTGAATTCAGGGTTTTGCGCTTGCAAAACAGGTGCTCTACCTCTTGAGCCATGCCTCCAGTCCATTTTTCTCTGGTTATTTTGGAGATGGTGTCTCAGCAACTATTTGCCTGGGCTGGCCTCATACCAAGATACTCCTCAGCCTCCCAAGTAGCTATGATTACAAGCATGAGCCACTGGTACCTGGTTCTTATCCCTTTTAAATCAGGTGCAAACTAATCTTGATACCACTGTGAGAGAGAGAGTCCTAGGGGAGAGGGACCACAGATGGACTCAGGAGGGCTTGGCATGTCTGCACATTTTCTCACATGAGGTACTGTCTCCCAGACTCCACCTGTCCAGACAGATAGTGACTATAGCCACCTCTTACACTGAGTGGGAGAGAAGCATTGAGGGAATTCATAAAAAAGGCGGATAGTCAAGATTTCACTAAGGTACAACACCACGAATCACGAAAAAATTCTTGATAGGAAGCCATGAATCACCTCCTGAGTAAAATTAAATAAACCCTGTGTAATCCCAGAGAGCTGTTACTAACGTTTATTGGTTGGGAATACAAGGAAACCTGAGGGCTGGTTGTATAATGTCCTTGAGTTTAAAATGTAGACTTAGATGAGCTCTGAGGGATGGGAAAGACTGTGAATTGGGCATCATTGGAATAGGTGGAAATCCCCACACTGTAAGAGAGGTTTATACACAAGCATGTGAGCATGTCCTCCAGTTTACAACCGGAGGGCGGGGTTGGGGTACAACATGTTGTCGGAGTCTGAGCCAGATCCCCATGGCTCCGTCTCGCCTGGCATTCTGCTTCATGCTAGAGCACAGAAAGAGTACAAGACCTAGGACCTGGGCTACCCAGCTGTCAGACCTGGGTTAGTTTGCATTGGGTGTGTGTGAGGGTGGAGAGTTGACATTTGAGGGGTGTGTGGTTAAGTACCTAGCCTGAGGTCAGGCTCCGAGCCGGGATGAATTCTGTTGTTATTTTTTAAGAAGAAACCCAGAGTTGGGGATCACAGACAAATTAGAGGCAATAAATATTGATGTTGGGAAATTTTAATCATATTGTAGAGCTGAAGTCAGAGGAAGAAGAGTTGGGGGATACCCAGTCAAGTCCAGTAAGGCTGGTCTCCCCAGGAAGTAGGCCACCCAGGTGAAGACTGGTCCTGTTCACTGCTGCACTGGGTGCGGGTGACTCCATGTTGAGCACTGTGTCACCTGGAGTTGCTGGGATGTGGGTGGAGTTCATGTTCCTGGCTACATGGGAGGCTCACCTAAGAGGTCTGTGTGGGATCCTTAGGCCCTCAAGAGCAATGGGAACTCAGCAAATATTAATGCAAACAGGCTGGCCTTTCTCAAGTAACTTCTTTTTATGTTTGTTTTTTTCTTTTTCAGGATTCCTGAAATAGAGTTAAAGAATGCCAAAGGTTTGTCAAATGAAAGTGTTAATTTGTTAAAATCCCGCCTAGAGGAACTGGCTAAAAAGCATTGTGGGGAGGTAAGACATTCAACTGGAGTCTGAGAGGAGAGGATGAGAACAGTCTCTGTGAGCTCACCAGTGTTTGCCTTCCTGCCTTCCCTCTGGCTTTTCCATTGTGCCTCTGGCCCAATTTTGAGTAGAATGTTTTGTTTGATTATTTGCATCTCTTTTATGTATAGGGTTCATGACTTGCAAGCTGTAGAGTATATACTGATAATGCTGAGGAATTTTTCTAAAGCAGCTGATGTCAACCTGGCCGTAGTTTTTGCAAACCAGATCTTGGTTTGAACTGTAAAATTCAGAAAAGTAATTTCTTTGTTACCTTTGCCTTTAGCATGTACAAAACCTTTCTGTTTTCCATCTTGATAATTAATGATATACTCTGCTCCTGCACTGTCCTTTCTGTGCCTGAGCACTTACACTGAGTTCAATACTGGTTGTTTTTTAATCCTTTAAATGTCAGGGGCCTACATGAGTTCTTTCCTGGGTGGCAGCACACTCTCCAGAAGGCAAGTCTAGGTGATTCATGGGGCAGAGTCTTACAGTGTTTTTCTCAGGGCAGACCAATCCCTTTAAGTATAATCCATCTTTTCCTGACTTTTTTAAAATCACTGTTTTTGCTTAGTGTGTTAGTCAGTTTTCTGTCACTATAACAAATACTTGAGATAAATCACCTTATAAAGAGATATCAGATATCTCATGATATCAGAGGTTTCAGTCCATGCTTGATTGGCCCTGTTAATTCTGAAATGTGGCCAGGTAGTACACCATGGTGGAAGTGTGTGGTGGAGCATAAAACCATTCACCTCATGGCTTAGAAGTGAAAGAGAGGAAGAAGGGTCTGAGGTCCCATTTTCTCCCTCAAGAGTATACCCCCCCCCCAATAACCAGCAGACCCCACCTCCCTTTTTCTTTTGTGGCACTGGGGCTTGAACTCAGGGCCTCAAGCTTGCTTAGGCAGGTACTCTACCCCTTGAGACACTCTGCTAACCCTGTTTTATGTTGGTTTTTTTGAGATAGAGTCTTTGAGAACTATTTGTCTGGGCTAACTTCAAACCTCAAGCCTACTGATCTCTGCTTGCTTAGTACCTAGGATTACAGGCATGGGCCACCTGCACCCAGCACCTCTTAAAGGTTCCACCACTTCTCAGTAGTGTAGAGCTGGGGGCCAAGTCTTTGACCCGTGGGCCTTTGAGGGACATTCCGCTGGAGTAGCTCATGCTTAACTATCCTGTGGTGTGCAAACTGAGAAGAGGGAAGCAAGGACTAGCCTGAGGACTCTGAAAGATGAGCAAAGGTAACATTCACCTCCTATGAAGTGGTGGGACAGATTTTCACTTGCATTCCATAATGTGGGGAGTGAGTCACAATAGAGTTGGTGAGTTGCCTCCTGGCTATAAAAATTTTGTTCACTTAAGTTGCTATTTCCAAAATCCTCAGTGATTGGTGAAGTTCAGAAAGTGATTACAGAATAGCCTGGACCAAGGGAATCATTCCAAAGTTCTTTCAAGTATAAGGGACTCTAAAGCCTAATGGAAAAAATAAAAGGGAGTTTGTTGAAAAGTCAGCTACAGAAAATCCTCTGTTCCTTGGATTCCTGATTTAGAATTTAATTTTTTTGCTTTATTTTAAATTAACCTTTTTATTTTGAGAGCTAATCCAGACATATCCCATGTACCCTCTATCCAGTTTGCCCCAGTGGTAACAGTTTTCAGTACTCCAATATAGTATCACTTCTGGGATATTGACATTGATACATGATTCTACCCCACACATTCATCCCACCCACCCTTTCAGCTTTCTCTCTATACCCCCACCCTCCTCTTCATACCTGAAAACCACTAATTTGGTGTCCATTTCTGTAATCTTGTCATTTTAAGGTTGTTACAGACAGTACACAACCTTTGGAGATTGGCTTTTTTACTCCATTATTCTCTCAAGATCCATCCATGTCCTTACATGTGTCAATAGCTGTTGCTTTCTATTGCTAAGCAGCACTCCGTGGTATGGATTCACTACTATTTAACCATTCACCAGATGAGGGACGCCTATGTCCTCTTCAGTTTGGAGCTATCACAAATAAAGTCACTAAAAACGTTCATGTACAGATGCTCCTCAACTAATAATGGGGGGTTGCATCCCAATAAACCCATTGTAAGTCAATGGGTTTATCCCATTGACATCATAGCTTAGCAACACAGTACCCCGTGGCCCATCATTGTTTCCATCCTGCTCATGTAACTCACTGCAAGCTGCAACTGGCTGTCTTTGCCCAGCATCACAGGAGAGTTTGTACCACATATCACCAGCCCAGCAGAAGATCAAAACGTGATGGAGTTTTATTCAGCCTTAAAGAGGAAGGAAATTCTGACATTTGCCACAGTGTGGATTAATCTTAAGGACATTATAATACGCGAAATAAACTGGTCATGCTAAGACAAATACTTGATGACTTTACTTACATGAGATAGTTAAGAGTAGTCAAGTTCACATAGCAGAAACTAAAATGGCAAGAAGTGGGAAGTTGTTTAATGGATACAGAGTTTCAGGTTAGAAAAATGAAAAAGTTCTGCAGGTGGATGATAGAGATGATTGTAAACAATGTAAATGCACTTCTTGTTTAAATTGATAAATACTATGCTATGTATATTTTGCCACAATTTTTTAAATATTAGAACTCATCTAAGACATCATCATATAATGAGATTTGAAAGGGTGTTAAGGACCGGAGGTATGGCTCAAGTGATAGAGCACCTAATTTGCAAGTGTGAAGCCCTGAGTTCAAACCCCAGTCCCACCTAAATAAATAAACAAAGCATAGAACATTTAAAACCCTCTCTTAATAAAATAGGGGACGTTAAACATGAAAATGTGCCTTGCAAATCACTGTTCTTAGTTGTCTAAGGTTTGTTTTCATAAAGTCTGTAGCACTAGGAAGTCTAAAATATGTCTAAAGAATTTGTTTTTATTTTCAAGCAAAATAGACTATAATTAAATATTAAAGTCTGCCTTAGGGATTAATTGTGGTATGGCATTCTCTGATAACTGGCTATTAAAATGAGTGCTTTAACTGTTTGAATGATAATAGGCATTCAAAACTGACCAGGATTTTCTGGGTATTGAACTCGGGACCTCAAATTTACTAGTCCAGTGCTTTGCCACTTAAGCTATACCCAACCCTTTTGTCTGTTTTTAGAATTGTGTTTTTGAGATTGGGTCTTACTGGCTTTGCTCAGGCTGGCCTGGAATTTGTAATTCTCCTGCCTCTGGGAGTAGCTGGGATTTCAGATCTGGCCACAATTCCTGGCTAAAAAATATTTCCACTTGCCACTAAATGATTTTTAATCTGTATAGCCGTTCTTTGTTTAACAATCCTATAAAAAGTACACTAAAATGTATGTAAGACAATAGTCTTTTAAATGAGTAAAGTCAAACTCATTGATTCTTTCATTAATTCATTCACCAAGTATTTAGTGCCTGTCTACCATGTACCAGACGTGTTCTGACACTGGGAAAGCCACAGGGAGCAAAGCATTGGACGACAGGTGATGGGAGCAGACAGACCCAATCTAGTAACAATAACAAATCAAATAGGACTGAATGCTATAAAGAAAAATTATGGGGGCCGAGTGCAGCCTGTCTCTCAGCTACATAGGAGGCATAGGTAAGAGGATTGTGGTCCAAGGACAGCCTGAGCAAAAAACGCAAGACTCTACCTGAAAAAAAATAAAAGCAAAAAGGGCAGGGGTATGGCTCAAGCGGTAGAGTGCCTGCCTAGCAAGTGCAAGGCCCTGAGTTCAAACACCAGTATTCCACCCCAAAAACCCCCTCAAAAAAAAAAAGAAGAAGAAGAAGAAATTATGGCAAAGGGTCTAGAGTGTGATAGAAGAGCAACTGTTTGGGGGTGGGGTGGGGAGAATGTCAATCTGAATGCTTCCCTAAGCGGTAATGAGGCTCTTTCTAAGCATTGACCAGCTTCTGGCTCATTACTGGCGGGGAGATCAAGAGGCCTTTAAATATTTGCCTCCAGACAGATAGAAGCTGTGGTGTTAGTGATACGTGTTCTACTCATTAGTCATTACCTACTCAGGTTTTCTAGGTGAGAAGGTTGCTTTTGCTTTTATGTAATCCTCAATATTTTTATCAGATTTATATGAATAGAAAAGTATTTTATTGGACTGTCATACAGAAAATGCTAATAAATTTGAACAGGTCTCAAAAAAAAATAAAGATGAAGTTAGCTAGGCACAATGACTTACCCCTGTAATCCTAGCTGTTTGGGAAGTAGAGATAGGAAGGATCAGGGTTCAAGTCCAGCCCAAGAGATAGTTCGAGAAGACCCTATCTCAACCAATAAGGTAGGCATGGTGGTATGTGCCTGTCATCTCAACTATCAAGGGAATCATAAATAGGAGGGTTGTGGTCCAGGCCGGCCTGGGCACAAGCATGAGACCCTATCTCAAAATAAGCAAGGCAAAAAGAGCTGGAGGCATGCCTCAAGCAGTTGAGTGCCTGCTTAGCAAGTGTAAGGCCTTGAGTTCAAACATCAGCACTGTCAAAAAAAAAAAAGTGAGGCCTTTTATTTACCTGGGTAGTGGTTTGTCTTGATTGCAATGTGGTAAGCCCTATAAGAGCTTTTCCTGCTGTGGTTGCGTCACGCACCTAACTCAGAATGTATCATAGCCAAGTGAATACCAGCACTGTAAGTATGTCTCAACAGCTCTTTTTGCTGCTCTGTAGCCTTTCTTGGGGCCCTGACTTCCCACTGTTTAATCATCTGTGGTTGATTTTGTCTCCATGTTTAGGTGATGATATTTGAATTGGCTTACCATGTGCAGTCATTTCTCAGTGAGCATAACAAGCCCCCTCCCAAGTCTTTCCATGAAGAAATGCTGGAAAGGCAGGCACAGGAGGAGCAGCAGAGGCTGCTGGAGGCCAAACGGAAAGAGGAGCAGGAGGTGAGGCCCATTGGAGTAAGGGCCCAACCTGGAGGTCTGTGAGCTTCTGTGGGTCCCTGTCTCTACCTATGAGTTTGTCTATACAGTTTTCTCAGCATTTGAGTCAAGCATGCATCTTCGTGTACAAAGAGTGACTGAGAAATGCTCTGTGTATTTTCCTTCCAGCATCATTAGTGCTGCCCTTAGGGCTCTCAGTCCAGGTCTTTTAAAAAGTTGAGAACTGGGCACAGTGGTTCGTTCCACAACCCCAGCTTCTCAGGAGTCAGAGATAGAAGGATCATAATTCAAGGCCAGTGTGGGCAAAATGTTAGTGAGAGTGCGTCTCAACCAATAAACTGGGTGTGGCTGTTTGGGAGGCACAAGTAAGGATCGTGGTCCAGGCCAGCCTAGGCAAGATTGTGAGACTCTATTCAAAAACAACTAAAGCAAAAAGGGCTAAGCCTGTGGCTCTAGTGATGGAGCGCCTGCCTAGCAAGCATGAGGCCCTGAGTTAAAATCCAAGTACCATCAAAAAAGAAGAAAAGGAGGCATTTAATCAAGCTTCCTGTGTCTTGCTGAGTTTGCCAGGCTGTATGGAATTCAGACTCAGAGACTGTTTTCTTCTTCCTCATGTGAGACAAGTATCTAATGCCTTAGTGAGTACAAAAGCCAGGAATGAAATTGGTTTTTATATTCATTAACCACTCATATTTTTTCTTTATTCACATAAGGATATGAACCACTTCTTTACTTTAAAAAGCCCTTACGTCAAAGATAATAGGTTACTCTAAATTTCTTGATTTAAAATTTTTTTCCATTTAGCCTTTTGATCAAGTTACCTAGAATTTATTTTAGTTATGAAAAAAAGAGAGCATGAATTTCTTAACACATTTATTAAATATGCATTCTTAGCTTTTTCTTGGTTGTCATTGGGTGTTTTGTTTTGCAGTCCTGGGGTTTGAACTCAAGGGCCTTGAGCCATGCCCCCTGCCTTAAATAATCATTCTTTATTAAGTGGTATTTCCTTTAAAATATAATTTAACTACTTATCCCTATAAGATTCTGTTGGTAAAGTATGTATTTTGTTCAGTTCATCTGTTTTTCTCTTGAGACTTTGCACACTTTGAGTGAGTGCATCTGTAGAATGCTTTCATATTTGACATGTCAGGCCTATCCTTCTCCATCCTTTCATCTGCCTTTTTTTCTCAGCCATTTTCACCCATTTATATTCTCTCTCACCTCCTACCCCACAATGGTGGGTGCAGTGCCTCAGCCTTCATCACCCCAGGCCCAGGCACTGAGGACAGCTCAGCCCTCCTCCTCCAAGTAGGCCCTGGTACCATGGCAGAGAGCAGCCATGGTGCTCAGTCCCTACAGACAGGCAGATGCCAAAGAGGTGAGGAGAAGTGGAGGACAGAGAGCAGTGCCTTCCCCATATAGTCTTAAACCTCAACCAGGAAACCTATTGCGTAATATGGCTTCCAGACTTGATGAGCCTGCAGCTTGAACTAAGGTTCTGCATGTTGCAGTCTCCAGGAAAGACTTCCGTGCTTCCAGAACTTACTCATTGTGTGGTTTCAGAGATTGCCATCTGACGGCGGTTTGATTTATTTCAGCAACGTGAAATCCTCCATGAGATTCAGAGAAGGAAAGAAGAGATAAAAGAAGAGAAGAAACGGAAAGAAATGGCTAAGCAGGTCCTCTGTCAATTCTGCTAAACTAAGATGATTTACATTTTCCTGTATACAACTTTCTCTTTCCTGTGTTACTTTTAGTAGTGACACATTTACTGTGTGTTTTGGATTTCCCAAATAGGTGACAAAATTCAGGGTTGTGTATTACCTGTAGATAACTTAGGCTTATATCATTACAGTCGTTTATTAGATAAGTTGGGGAGAGGAGAGTAAAGCTTTGTTAATTAAACTGGACTAGTATTCAAAATGCCCCAAAATAAAGTGATTTGTTCATAGTAAAGAGGGAATGGAATCCATTTGCCCCTGCCTGAGATTTCATTTCATAATTTTTAGAAAAGAACAGATTTTGTAAAACATAAAATAAAATTTAAAAAGGATAATGTTACTTGGAGAAGTCCAGAGAAAATGTCACTCATCCTCTTTTTTAGTTTCTTTTTTTGGTGGTACTGACAGTTGACCTAGGACCTTGTGCTTGCCAGGCATACTCTCTACCCCTTGAGACAACTGCCAGCCCATTCTCTCTTTTAGAAATGTAGCATTTGACTTAAAGGGCACTGTGCAGCATCATGGGAAGAGGCTCGAGTGCACCAATAAACAGCACCTGGCTAGCTATGACCTTTACAGTGACACTGACTCATATTCCTCATCCTTTAAAAATGGTACTGATGCTGCTTGCGGTTCTGCCTCATATGACAAAGGTGCTGCCCTGTGTGACAGTGGAAAACCAGTGCAATCTAAGACCTTATGTTGCCCCAAGCTCTCCCATCTCACAGCTGACCTGCCTTCCAGTGGCCACTCTGCTCTCTCTTGAAGCCGCTTCTTCCCTTCCTCTCCTCTAACTTTTCATGAATATTCTAGGAGTCTAAATTTTCATTTATAAAATTCACATTCTCTTAAGACTGGAACCTGGACTTTAGTTCTTGACCCAGCACATGTTTGGACATTAATTTTTAAAAGAAGGGTTCAATTTTAATATACTTACAAGCATTCAGTCTAAATAAAATTTTTCCTGCCAGACATAGTGGCTCAAGCCTGTGATCCTAGCTACTGGGGAGGTAGAGATTCATAGGCCAATGTGGGCAACAAGTTCACAAGACCCCATCTCAAGCAATAAAAGCTGGCTGTGGTGGCACAAACTTAGCACCCCAGCTACTTGGGAAGTATAAATAGTAGAATCTCAGTCCAGGCCAGCCCAGGCAAAAGGACTGAGAGCATGGCGCAGGTGGAAGAACACCTGTGAGGCCCTGAGTTCAAACCCCAGTACTGCCAAAAAATAAATAAGTCAACAAAATTCTACACTGAATAATGCTTGCCTTCTGTTTATGACTTACATCTAAAGTGAGTTTTCTCTTCTTTTTCTAGGAACGTTTAGAAATTGCTAGTTTAGCAAACCAAGACCATCCATCTAAGAGAGACGGAGGAGGACACAGAGCAGCTGCTGTGCTGCCCGGGGGCTCTCCTGACTTTGTAGGAAACGGCAAACACCGAGCCAGCTCCTCAGGGAGGTCTAGGTCAGTCTCTGGGGTTTCTCTGTGCAGGATGAGAACAACTTGTGTGAATCTGGCGCAGTTTTCAGGCCAGACCTTAAGAACTTCTTCACAGCCTACATATATTACTGTACTATATTATCTAGCACTATATTATCTAGCAATATAAACTTATTTTTCATTTAACTTTCCACATATCTTTATTTGACTTTTGTTTGCTCATTTGTTTTTTCTGGGGATTGAACGCAGGGCCTTGCACATGCTAAGTAATTGCTCTACCACTGTGCTGCACCCCCTAGGCTTTTTTTGTGTGTGTGACAGGATCACACTAAGTTGCCCAGGCTGACCTCGAATTCCCGATCTCCCTGCTTCAGCCTCCCAAGTAGCTGGGATTACAGGTGTGCACCATCCTGCCTGGCTTCAAGTATCTGTAATGAAACCAGTTTTATAGTACATATCGCTCTAGCTTAGCCTATGATGCTTCACAGTCTTGCCTTCAGTGCGGTGTGGTTTGACTTTTAATGACCTAACTCTTCAGCAAGTCTTCCATCTGAGTCATTATCAAATTTCATACCGTATGTGTTTTCGTCTGTACTTTTTTAGAGCTAGCCACAGAAGTGAGGAATGCTACAAAATGGGCACAGGTATAGAGTACCTGTCACCTGAGAATGGAGCCCCGTTTGCTGCTGGGGCTCCCTCTGTATCACAGGAAAGAATGAATTTTCTTGAAGTGTAGTTTGCATATTTCTTTGCTTAAGAAATAAAAAGTCTTTGGTATACCAAATTACTTCATAGTATACTCTTGATTCTTTTTCTTCATTGGTTGTTATGGGTTGGAAAGTCGAAAGAAGTCACCAAGGTGATCCATTTTATTCTTTCTGTTTGTCGAGTTAGTACAGATGTCTTGTCTATATTGTTAGCAGGCAGTCTTCAAATTGGCTATGTCTGAAAGCAATAAAATCTAAAGCTATGATTCACAGATTCATTCAACAAATTCCTGTTGAGTACTTATTCCGCACAGCCCTATTCTGAATCCCAGAGATTCAGTAAACAGATCAAGAAGGGTTGCTATTACAGAGTTTATTCCTGTTGGAAAAGACCATCCCCATGTACACAAGGAAATGTTAGGTAGGGGTTAGTGTCCACAGAGCATTCAAGTAAGCTGTGTTGGAGAAAGCCTGGTGGCCATTTTAGACTGAGCACATTAGGAAAAATGCAAGACCTGGATCTCAAGTGACCTTATATTGGAGGATTCTAGTTCTGGACATTGGGACGGAGCCACTCAGGTATCAGGGAAGAACAGCACAGAGAAGAGCTGGTGTGGGCTTGTCATGAGCAAAGCTCACTAAACAGGACAGTGGGGCAGAGGTAGTGGCCGTGAAGAGCATGGTTCAGGGAAGTGGGCAGGCAGGTCATGGAGGGCTTTGTTGTACAAGGTAGGGGTCACATAGAATGAGCAGCTCTGGGGGTTTTAAGCAACAGTATGATACCGTAGACTTACATTGTATGCAGTTCCTCCTGGTCCCAGGTGCAGAGTAGAGGGTGGGACCCACCATAGAGGAGTGATTCTCACTTCCCACCTAGGGCATTTGCCCACTGCTCTCCTGGGACACTATCCCCCCAGCCTTTGCACGGCAGCCCCTTCTTACTCAATTCTCCCTCCAGTGTGATGTCTACAGAGAGGCCTCCCCCGACCCCCTCTGCTCCATCACCCAACTGAGCACTTGTTACCTAATTCTGTTTTTCTACATAGCACTTACCACTAATTGAATTCCTTTTTAAACTAGAGAATCTAAGACCTCATGTGTGTTTTCCTCAGTGCCTGGACCAGTGGTTGGCAGACACATAGTGGGTGCTCCATAAACATCTGATGGGGAAAGAAGGGAGCAAGGAAAGAGCAATGGAAGGGAAGGGAGAGCTGGCGTGGGGGACACACTGTAATCCCAATACTCAGAAGGCTGAGGCAGGAGGATGTGGGTTCAAGGCCAGTAGGGCTACATAGTGAGACCCTATCTATCCCCTGAAAAAAAAAATTATCAACCATCAGTGGGGTTTTGTTTAGCACAAGATTTCCACTGCTTAAAACAGAGACAGGGAGAGTGAGAGAGATAAGGTGAGAGAGAAGAAACCCTGCTCACTGTTGTAGTAGAAAGAGCTTAAAAACTTGGCACTCAGAGCCCTGGCCTCTTGGCCTAGCTCCTCACTGCTGAGTCTTTGCCTTTGTTAAAGAACTTTATTTTCTGTGTCTGTCAAGTCCTGAATGAGTGAATGATTTACTTTAAAAATAAAAATACTGAGGTAAGATCAAATAGCTTAAAATGAGCCATTTTAAAGTGTAGAATTTGTTGTAGAGTTCTCCTCAACCCTTGACTTCTTCCCAGGGATGGTGTACCTGACTAATGGGCACTTTGAACTTTTTAGGAGATGAAAACAATTTTCTATAAAATAAATTGTGTTAGAGAATTGCTGTCACACATTCAGGCTTGGTCTCTGCAGGCTAACAACATGTTACCCCAAATCTAGCACCCATCTCTTGTTTCTACCATTGACCAAGATGAGGAGATCTTCTGGTTTGTTTTCCCTATCCCAAAGCCAGGTGGTGCACAGAGAAGGGGTAACTAGGTATAAGACATAGGATCCCCTCCACTCTCCCCAAAAAGCAAAGCTGCTCACCTCACAGCCAGGACACAAAGGGAGGGGCCGAGGTTCCACCGTCCCTTCGAGGGAGGTGAACAGAAGACCTCCTGCTGGGCCCCCACCTTAAGGATTCCACCACTTCCCAATGGCACCTCACTGGGGACAATGTCTATAACACATACTCCTTTGGGGGACGTTCCAGATACAAACTGGAGCAGCTCTATCCTTTGATCTTGCTGGTGGAGAAGTCTTAATAAATTTTCACTTTTTTTTTTTTTCGTTCTCATTGGTTTTTTTGCCTTCTTTTCATTTATCAAAGATTTATATACTTTATTTAGTCTTCTAAAACTGAGCTGTGTTGGTGGGCATGGTGGCTTTCCCTATAGTCCCAGCTATTCAGGAGGCAGAAATTGGGAGGATTACAGTTTTAAGCAAAAGCTTAGCAAGACCTCATCTCAGTCAATAAGCAGGTGTGGGTGTAGCATCTCATCTGCAGGGCAGACATATATATCACAGTCTGAGACCATCTGCCTCACACAAGACTCTATCTGAAAAATAACTAAAGCAAAAAATGGCCAGAGGTGTGGCTCAAGTGGTAGAGCGCCTGCCTAGCAAGCATGTAAGGAAAGCTTGGGTGGTAACCCCAATGCCACCAGATTAATGTTAATTTTAAAAATTGAACAGTGTCAGATTCTCTGTCTTTACAAAACCCAATTAGAATTTGGCAGTTTTGTTTGCAATGCCCTTTATCCCTGATAGGTGGGGTTCTGTTTCTAACAATAGTCCAAAGCCGTGAACGTTCCACATCTGGAGCAGAGGGTGAGGCAAGTGTCACTGCTTCTAAACACATTTGTTTGCGTTGGGGTGACGATTTCCGCTGGAGTTGAGATGCTGTTTTCTGGGCTCCAGAGAGATGTTCTAACCCAGTTCTTGAGGAGTCCAGGTAAACAGCACCAGCACCCAATGTATACACTTCTTTTGGGTGAGAGCTGCACACATCAGAGACTTTGGCTGTCACCTCTTTCTTCCTTCTTTCTAATTGTAAGGTACTTTTATGTCCTCCAGAATTGCTCCTGCTGTCAATCTGTCCCATGTGGCATTTTATTGGTACTTTCACTTTAAAAATTATCTCTACTTTTCCTTTAACCCTAATTACCCTTTTCTTACAACACTTAACACTGTGGGTATGATTCACACATAATGAAGTGACTAATATTCTAAACTCCTTAACACCAAGCATTTACACACTGTAAACCAAAGGACATTACAGTGGCCAGGTGCACCTGGTGGAGGGCAGACCCGATGTAGAGGGGCTTCTGGATAAATGATGTAAATGTAGCGTATCATTTTGAACCTTTGCTTTCCTCCTTTTCTCCCCAAATCTTGGTTGTGCTCCTGTTTGTATAAATAACTTCAGAAGCAGAAATTTAAACAGAACTTTGGTGTATTAGTTATTCCCCTGCATTTTGAATATGTGGGCATGTATGTGGTAGCAGAGACCCTTATCTCAGTACAGTCTTGTTACCAATGTGAAAGGGGATTGGGGAAGGAGAAGATAGGAGGGGCTGGAGGCAACGAGACTGGGTAATAATGGAGTATTGCATGTATCCAGGAGGAAGCTGGAGATGAGCAGGGCAGGAGAGATGGAGAGGGGAGGTTGGTAGCTGGGATCAATTAGATGCACATCTAGGAGCCTAAGGAGGCTTACCAGTTTCTGATCACTGAACCATCCAAGGTCAAAGAATGGGGGGGATGGGTGGAGGGGAATAGGTTGGGAATGGTGGTAGGGAGGTGCTAATAAAAGTGATGCTTTTATTAGCATCGTTTGGCATGAGGAGTAATAAAAGGTGCAGACAGCCAGTGTGGACATTTGAGTACAAAGAACAAGAGTTGGTAGGTGGTATGGATTGAAGGCAGACAATGTGGGAATGGGAGGGGCAGATTGACATGCCAGATGGGAGGACCAACTGATGGACCGGGATCTCAGAGGAGACCATAGGGAATGGAACCAGGGACATTCCTACAGCCCTTCCTCACTGTTAACCTAGAAAGACCAGTGCCAATGCTATATGACTTCATAGGTGGAGCATAGGAATTGCAGACTTCGCTCCTCATTACTTCTGTTCTCTTGAAGTGAAGGTCAAGATCATGCTTGGAGGGAGAGGGCAGCCTCTCTAGAGAACTGGCTATGTACTTCATCAGGGCATTTCTTCTAGGTGTCCAGTTGTGATCCTCAAGCGCTCTCCCTTCTTCCTCACTGCAGCCCTCTAGGAGAGTTGGGCAGCTTTCCCCATAGCACCTTCAGCACCATTCTCAGTAGACATGAGGTTGGACCGGGAATGGGCTGATAATCAGAAGAAAACAAAGGGGCAAGGATTTCCTGTATTAATCTTAAGTTAAAGGAAAAAAATCATTGTCCACGTTTATTTTTAAGGCGAGAACGTCAGTATTCTATATGTAGTAGTGAAGATTCTCCTGGCTCTTGCGAGATCCTGTATTTCTGTGTGGGTAGTCCTGATCAGCTCATGGTGCACAAAGGGAGATGTATTGGTGAGTAAACCAGCACAATTCATTTCAGTTATGTAATGGTAAGAGTTAACCACGAAGGAGCAGGGCACAGTGGGCACTGTTGTCCAAAGCAAACCACCAAGCCGGCGCTCAGTTATTCGAGCTCCCGTTCCTCGTGGCTGCAATGAGAAGTGACTCAGGTTTCCCCTAATGTGAGATGGAATGAAGCTGTGCCCTTGGAAATGTCAGTCTAAAGTTATCAGTAATATCCAGGCCTTCTGAAGCAAGAAAAGATTGCTGAAGTCTTGTCAGTAGAGTTTTGTATTGTGTACATCTGATGCTGATGAACACATGTAACAAAATGGGTTCTAAGCTGTGATCTTTAATGGCCAAATCTCATTTTCTTCTGTTAATATCCCTCTGCTCGGCATTTCTTGCTTGGCGTGCCGTCCCTGGCCAGGAAGAACTTTCTTCTCTGCATACCTTGTTTAGCAGTTTTGTCTATTGATCGCTATTTGGAGTGAAGCTGGCTGTGCAATTCAGGGTTTTAAAATCAGGTTTTCCATATCTACTCCCTTTGCACTCATGTACATAGTTGTTTTTCAGCCATAGAGATACAGCCACTAGTGGGTATAGGTCTTGCTTGTGAGTTTGACAATTAGCTGTAATTCTCAGTTCCACGATTATTCTTGCAGCAGTAACAATAAGTCAGGTTTGCGTTCTTGCAGCATCTTTCCCCTTTCCTCTTTAAAGAGATAAAAATCTAAGCATGAGAGTGGCCAGGGAGCAGGCAGCAAGAGGAGAAAGAAGAACCCAAACATCTCAGTTGTCTGTGAACTGGACATTTAGCCAGACTGGAAGCAGCCTGGACCGAGTAGGGTTCTGCATACACAGGGCTGCCATAGTCAGACAAAGCAGCCATCTGATAGGGTTCAAGACCCTGGTAGAGAAGGTTGGCTTGGACCTGAGGCTGTCCTTGACTCAGAGGCATTTCAGGTGCATGAACCGGCAGCATAAACCTCCCTGCTTTTAATAACCTGGGGAAATCAGGAAGGCAAATTAATTTGGTCTTTTGTTCTCACTGGTACTCATTAGACAGGCTCACCTTATTTAATATTGTCATTAGAGGCACTTTTGCAACTGGAGAATTTTTTTATATAACCATCAAGTGCTAAATTATTTGTTTTCTCACAATGGGTCTGATTTTTTGAACAGCCTAATTTTCTATGAACTGTTTTGATAAAAGTTCAACTAATATTTAATTTTCAATGAAATATTTTTATTTTAAAAACCAGCTCTAATTAATATTTGGTTTTCAATTTAAAGCTGTTGGAACTAGAAAGAATAGCAAGCTAACTTTGGATATGGAACTGTCTATAAATGGTTGGTGCTAGCATGTAATAGAGGTTTAGCCAGAGTTCTTTTGGTGACATAGTTTCCTTCAGCAGAGTGTTCTCTTATCCCTTCATTATCCCCATCACAGTAGGGTGGCAGTAATAAATTTACAATTTTTTAAAACAGCAATTATGAAATGCCTACCTAGTCTCAGTTGGGGAGAGAAATATTACAAGATAGCAACTGTACAAGACACAGGTTAATGACCTTTATGTAAATCGCATTATCTTCCATCCCGTAAACTCTGCGTGTGGCGCCTCCAGTGAGCAGCTCATAGCCCACACTTCTCAGGTTGCTTCCTTTGGTTGACAAATTTTCAAACATCAGGGATTTTCCCCCTTAGGCTGTGGCTTTTAGGAGTTAATTATGACTGGCAGAATAGATCATTTAAATTAAAATCCCTAAATTATCAGCATTTCTCTGAAGTAAAAACTGCTTCTCAGACAGAGAGTGTAGGTGAGCTAATTCAGCCATATTTCTCCAAAGTACTTTTGCTAAGACTTATTTATCTTACACATATAGTTTACTTCACTTTTCATTTTTCAGGTGGAAAACACAATTATCAGTATCTCTTCAATTTTTTTCTTCATTGTGAAGACAAAGTAGCATTTATATACTAGCACTTAAATACTAAGAGGAAAAGGCAAAATACTATGTATCAGTGGTTCTCACTGGGGGCAAGCTGATACCTAGGGGGCATTTAGCAAGACCTGCTGACATTTCTTTTACTGTGTTGGGGACCACACCCAGGGCCTTGCACACGCTGGGCAAACACTCCACCATTGAGCCACACCCTCAGCCGTTGCAGGCATTTTTGATGGTTATACTGCAGAGGTAGATGCTACTGGATAGTAGAGTGGCATCAAGGCATACAACAGCCCCTATCTGGCCCACTATGTCAGTAGGGCCACAGATGCTGTACATGCTATGATTTGGTAAATTAGGATTCAAAACAGAAGGACAAAGGAAAGTAAAATTAAAAATAAAGCAAAATATGTTTCTTCTTTTCCAGTATTTTGATGGTCTATTATATTCTTTAATGATAATGGAGATTTTTGATGTTACAGAAATTTAAGTCTTCCAGGTACAAGTGAAACTGTATACCTATTGCTAAGTAAATCTGTCTCTCTGAATTGCCTTAAATTTAAACTGTCATTTCTGGTCCCTTCCCTCCAAAACATCGGCTAGTTTGTATTTACTAAGAATATTCAAAGTTTGTAGTTAGAAAGTCATTGATGTATTCACATTTCAAATTACTAAAGCTGTTTTCACCGTGCACGCCAGTCTATATGAATGGGATAATATTGATGCAGAGACTCTATTTCCAGTTTGTTCTGCCATTTTTCTTAGCTGTGTGTGGTGCAGCAGCAGGCACACTCACACAAGTGAGCTAGTTAGGAAGGTAACATCGTAAATAATACAGAATAAAACCTTGTGCTCTTTATTAGGTCTGATTCTAAGATTCCATTGTTGATTCTTGTCTCTTTAAAAGAGGTAATATAAAAGGTTACATTGTTAAATGTTGAACATTGAAAGTGGGCTACAAAAGCACATGTATTACATGAAATCACATTTTTCATAGTTAACACATAACATCCATTGTTAAATGATGCTTCTTTCCCACAGAAAACTTGCAGTGAGGTTTCATTACTTTTTCTGTTTATGTGCAGGCAGTGATGAACAGCTTGGAAAATTAGTTTACAATGCTTTGGAAACAGCCACTGGTAGCTTTGTCTTGTTGTATGAATGGGTCCTCCAGTGGCAGAAAAAAATGGGTCCATTCCTTACCAGTCAAGAAAGAGAGAAGATTGATAAGTGCAGAAAGCAGGTAGGCTCCCACCCTGACCAGATCTAATGGGTTCACTTGTGATGCAGAGTGGGCAGGGAGCCCCTGTGTCCCCCGTGGAGGTCTCCACAACAGGGACAGCACTTTTGCAGCTGCCCTCTAGCATTCCTTTCCCACCCTTGTGGCATTAACAGTCATCTGGCTGGCTGGGACTAAATACTATTTCATAGCTGTGCTTTTTGTAATCATTTATATTTTCTCCACTCTTAAAATATTTGTTTAAAACTGTTGTTTGGGGGATTGGAATTTTTCAGTTTTTTTGTGTGTTTTTCCTTTTGTGTAGTACCAGGGATCAAAAGAGAATTTAACATTAATTTTTAAATACCAAACTTAAGAAGATCATTTAATACTGCATACTACAGCTGTTAAATAATAAAGAGGTTATAAAATAGGTAAAACACGGTATTTAGAATGAGTGTCTACTTACATATAGAAAGAACAAATGGAAGTCAATACTCCAAAATAAGAAGTTAATCTTGGATGGTGATCATATAGATAATTTGTGGGGTTTCCCTTCTATTAATTTTTAAAAACTTATTATGCAGTGTTAGGGATCAAACTCAGGACCTCTTGCTTGCTAGCCAAGCACTTTACTACTGAGCACACATCCAACCCCCAGGTTTTAAAAATTCGGCTGAACTTTATTGGAATCAGAAAATAATGTTTTAAAACTAGTGGTTTTTTTTTTGGTTGCCATTTCTCAAAAAAAAAAATTGATTTTAAGGCTGGGGACATGGCTGTGCAAACGAGGCCCTGAGCTTAACCTTAGTACCAAAAAAGCTATTGATTTTAAAGCCATTCACTAATTCGTGGTGTTTGCACATTAGGTTTTGATGAAAGAAGTTGAGAATTAAGTAAAATTTTTGCATCTTTTTGAACTGTTAGATTGACCCTGCCATTTAGGGGATGGTTCAGTTTGGAGCATATTTGTTCTCCTCTCATTTGAAAGTATATTTTATATCAACACCAATTAATGTCTTTTGACCTAATATTATTGGATTTCTTTTCCTTCTAGATTCAAGGAGCAGAAACAGAATTCAACTCACTGGTAAAACTGAGCCATCCAAATGTTGTCCGCTACTTTGCGATGAATTTCAGAGAACAGGACAACTCCATCGTGGTGGACATTTTGGTGGAGCATGTTAGCGGGGTGTCTCTCGCTGCACACCTGAACCACTCAGGCCCCATCCCCACGCACCAGCTTCGCAAATATGCAGCGCAGCTCCTGTCAGGCCTCGACTATCTGCACAGCAACTCTGTGGTGCACAAAGTCCTGAGTGCATCGAGTGTCTTGGTGGATGCAGAGGGCACTGTCAAGGTCACGGACTACAGCATTTCTAAGCGCCTGGCAGACATTTGCAAGGAGGATGTATTTGAGCAAACCCGAGTTCGTTTTAGTGACAATGCCCTGCCTTATAAAACAGGGAAGAAGGGGGATGTGTGGCGTCTTGGCCTTCTGCTGCTGTCGCTCAGCCAAGGACAGGAGTGTGGAGAGTACCCTGTGACCATCCCCAGTGACCTACCAGCTGACTTCCAAGACTTCCTAAAGAAGTGAGTGTCAGTAAAGTCCTCCAGTGGCTCTTTCCTCTTGAACATCTGCCTCAGTGATGGGAAAGCCAGACATGAGAAACAGACTACCCTTGCTCAGCCCCATCTGCTCTGTTTCCTCCTCCTGTTCATCATTCCCTTAGCTCACATTTCCCCTAAACTCATTCAGACATAGTAATTGCTTTTCAGGTGGCTTTTGGGAGGCTCCCTGAGTACTCCAGGATGTCTCCCTGTAGGGATTGCCACATGAGAAACGTGCTTGTGTTCGCATTGGAAGACCTCTCCATCTACCCTTGCTGCTAGTTTTAAGAGGTCAAAGACAAGACCTCCTACTTAGAAAGCAGCTTCAGGAGTGTGGTCTGTCCTTGTTCTTCAGTGGCTATCTCATTCAGCCAAGTCATAGGATGAAAATGACTTGACTCCAGCCACATGATTTTCAGTACCTGTGAGTTACAGGTGCACATTTAATTACAAAGCCAGCCAAGTGTTGCCTGGTTTGAGAGAATCCTTAGCTGTGGGGCTTTCCTTAGGCCTAAAGTCTTTGTCCTGACCCTTCTATCCCATGTGTTCTGCTTTAACCCTGTCTGTCTCAGTTCAAGGCACCGCTTAGTTCTCTCAGTTACTGTTACATGAGAGAGAAGGTCCCTTCAGTTTAGATTTTCCACACTCCCCTGGCCCATCCTTCCTGCAGAAGCTGACCTTTCTGCTACTCTGTCTTGCCATTCACTTTGATTCACTTCATCTCCTCCTTGCATTTCTTTTCTTTTGCCCTTCCCATTTCTTTCTGTTTCCATCTTCACCAGTAGATCCATAGTTTTAGTTCCTGTCACTACTTTCTTATGCACAAGTGTGAAAGTGCCTGCACATGAACAGTCTTGTGCCAGCTCAACAAAGTTTTTGCTAAGAGCCGACCAACCACACATATGATGGTGGTCCCACAAGGCTACATTGCCTAGTGACATGATAACAGTGCCCATTTGTGCAAGCAAACTGTGATGGTCACACTGTAATAGAATCGCCTAGTGACACAATGTGTCCCTGTCATTAGGCCACACAGACTGTATTTAAAGGAGGTAGTTTCTGTGTGCCACAAAGAAGTAGACATGCTATACATTCACTTCTAGAGAGGGGCCAATGTTGACTGTGTGTGCTGTATTCACTCCCTAACATGTATAAAAATCTTAAAGAGTTTTAAAGAAATCTTTTATAACAATAGAACTTTAAAATTCTTATTTAAATGCACCCTAGCAGTAAGGTCAATTGAAACGAAGTGTGGTGGTAGACTTACCAATGGAAAGATTCATTGCAGTCTTCAGTGTCACCTTGAGCTTTCTGCCCTTCTTGATTGGTCTGCAGTAATTAAGTAAAAAGTGGCATCATGTGATTTTAAGAGCAATACAGGAAGTTTAAATAGAACATACTTTTCACACATGATAGCCAAACAATGGATTTGGGAGCTAAATCTTTCCTAGTTGTCTTACAGAAATAGCTCTACACTGTCAGTTTTGAACTTGGCCCATGCTGCTTCTTATTCTTTCAAAATAATTGTCCTCTGGACAGTCATTTGTGTGTTCCTGTCTTCCAAGAGTTTTGATAGACTGTGGTTGGTTAGGAAGGCCCTGTGGTGTATTGTTTTACCACCTTATAGCTGTTGGGGCCCAGGTAACAAAAGAAAAAAATCACCCCCAAAGAATAGAAGCAAGGTGACATGCACCTGGAGTTGTACTTGTTGGTGAACCCTTTGGAGAAAGGTTTTGTCATGAATCCACTTTGTGTGGATTCCACTAAGTGCACAGACACTGGAGCAGACAGCTGGGTAGGTCCTCCCAAGCCTTCACAGGCTGTTAAGTGACTTAGCATGTGTAAAGTGCTTCACACTGCCTCAGCACTGGTCCCTGCTGAGTTTGTGCTGGCTTTCATCACAGTCTCAGCAGTAACAACTGTGGAGAAATGTAGATGCTACCAGGCTTGTCCCCACTTTTGGTTCAAAGTTGGGCCTAGCATTTGCCTTTTTTTTTTTTTTTTAATGATAGTATTGGCGTTTGAACTCAGGGACTTGCATTTACCTCCTGAGTCCTTTTTGCTTTAGTTTATTTTTCAGATAGGGTCTCCAGCTTTTGCCCAGGGCCAGCCTCCATCTGCAGTCCTCCTACCTCTGCCTTGCATCTCCACCTCTCGTGTAGCTAGATTATGGGGGTGCACCCAGCCCTAGCATTTGCCGTTGCTACTTTCTTATGACTACTATGTTGCCAAAGTTATTGTTCAGAGAATTACATCCCCTGACCCTGTACTGGGGATTGAACCCAGGGCCTTGTGCATGCTAAGTAAGTACTTACTTCTGAGCATTATCCCCACCTTTTTTAAAATTTTAAGATAGGATCTCTATAAATTGCACATAATGGCCTTGAGCTTGAGATTCTCCTGCCTCCACCTTCTAAGTAGCTGAGATTACAGACATGTACCACTACACCCAGCCCAAAAGTTTCATCTTTTTAAGTGTGATGTTGGTGGCTATAAAATCTCTTCAAAATGCAATTCATTCTAGGTAACTTTCAGCTCTTTCTGATCCAGACCTGTGGTCATATTACTCACATTAATGTCACACCTGAGTTAGACTTGGTAATGTCCTTCAGAAGTCCCACAGGCATTAAGGGGTGGTCACGGCAGCTTTTCTGTGTTTGTGTATGAATGAAAAATTGGAAACAATCCCAATAGTAGGACAGTGTGTAACTAAATTGTGGCAAGTCCATGCCTATACAGAGTTAAAAAGGGCCTGCAAGTACTGTCTAAAAGTATTTATATGTAAGATGTGTAGCTGATTAAAAAGAATAAGTTAGAAAGTAATGTGTTCAGGGAAATGTTTTAAAACTTAGTATCCATGTAAATGCATAGAAAAAGGTCCACAATACACATATCAAGAGAAGGGAGAGATTGAAGCCACGGAGCTTGATCAGACTTTTATCTTTTTTTTTTGCAATTACTGGGGTTTGAAGTCAGGGCTTTGTACCTGCTAGGCAAGCACTCTACCACTTGAGCCATGCCCCCAGCCCTTTTTGCTTTTTTCAGATAGGATCTCAGGTTTTTTGCCCGTGCCAACCTTGGATCATGATCTTACTACCTATGCCTCCCACATATTACAGCTGTTCACCACCACCCCCAGCATGTTGTTTGAAATGGGGTCCTGCTAAGTTTTGTGTGGGCCGGCCTCGAGCCACAATCCTCCTGACCTCTACCTCCTGAGTAGCTAGGATTACAGATGTGAGCTGCCAACCAATCTGGTTGCCACTTTCTGTGTCTTGGAAGTCCAGAACTCATATTGACAGGTGATTCTTTTAAACTTAAGATTTATAATTAGGGTTGAATGCTACCAACTGGCTACTGGGGTGGTTGTTATGGAAGCATAGTAGTTTAGAAAAATGAAAACTGTGGTTCTTAGCCCTCAGCTTGTGTTCACCTGGGGGGCTATTGAAGCAGACTTCTCTCCATACCCCAGTGCTGCTCATTCACTGGTCAGTTTGACGTGGAATTAGAATTTGTCCTAAGCTCCTAGCAGGATGGGAGCTGCTGGCCAGGGCTCGACCTCAAGGACCCATCTTCACTCACTTAAAACAAAGCATCGCTGTTTGTGAGCACATGGAGTGATAAGTCGGTAGGTTCAGTAATCAGGACAACACGGGACTCAGTTGTTGTGCACTCACCTCATGTACGAACAACAGGCCTCATCTGAGTGTACGTCAGCCATCTGATTTGCTTTCTCTTTGGTCCCTAGAAAGGCTTCAATTAGCATGGCAAGTTAAACTATTAGTGGAGTGATCACCATAGCCTACTTGTGTTGTCTGAGCCTTTTTAAATGGTTCTGGACCTCTGTAAGAACTGCATTATTTCCTATTCCCACTTGCACCCAGCCTGGCACCAAGAACGTGGGTCCTACAGGAATGCATGATAATTTAAATTTGCTTCTCAATGCATTTTGGCCCATGAGTAGCATGGATCCACTAATGTGTACTTAAAAGTAAACCCATGGCTAAAGGCCATGGGTTGGCTAGACTGCATTTGCCTTGTGTGTCACTGAGATTCGTCCTTCCCTCCCACTGAGGTGTGTCTGCCTGGATGACAAGGAGAGATGGAGCCCTCAGCAATTGCTGAAACACAGCTTTATAAACCCACAGCCAAAACTGCCTTTAGTGGAACAGAGTCCTGACGGTGAGTGAGTCTGTTACTATTCTTCTGTTGTTTTGGATTGTGTCTGACAGCAGCTTGCCATTTAGCCCAGGCTGGCCTCCAACCCCAGTCCTCCTGCCTCAGCCTCCTGAGAGCTGGGTTCTGGGCATGCTCTACCACACCCAGCTCTTCTGTCTCTGCCTTTGTTTCATCTCAGATTCCGGAGGACAAGACTACGTGGAGACCGTCATTCCCAGCAACCAGCTGCCCAGTGCTGCCTTCTTCAGTGAGACCCAGAGGCAGTTTTCCCGGTACTTCATTGAATTTGAAGAATTACAGCTTCTCGGCAAAGGGGCTTTCGGAGCAGTGATCAAGGTGTGACACTGTTGTCCCCAGTACCTTTTAGAGCCCCTTTTCTGTTTCATTTCTGCAGATTTACAGGCAGGCTTCGCTTCTGTTTTGAGGGAGGAGAAGTGAACAGGACTACTTTAGGCCATGACACTTTTGCCTTCCTGGAAATAAGCCACATGTGATGGTACACACCTGTAATACCAGCCTCTCAGGAGGCAGAGGCAGGAGAATCTCAGGTTTGAGGCAAGCCTGTACCATACAGCTTTCAAAACAACAACAAGGACCTGGGATGTAGCTCAAGTGGTTGAGCACTGGTGAGTTAAGAATGCAGTCCCCCGCCCTCGCTTGGCACAGAGCATGTGAGGAGCCATTATACGGCTCGCCACGTGGAGTCAGGGCCTCTGTGTGAAGAATGCATCCCTGTGCTTTGGTTTAGGAAGAAAATTGTTCCTTTCTTCTCCCATCTATTGAAGCAGAGGGCTCCAAGGTTGGACAGGGATGGGATTCATACTGTGAGATGGCCCCAGGTGACCTGGTGGCTTTTATTCTCCAGCTTTTACTGAGATGGAAAACTAGCGATTGCTTTTAAGTTGTGCTGCTGTTGGGTCTTCGTTTCTTCATCCCAGTCTATTTGGGCTACTTTTATTATCTGTCTCTGTAAAAAGAGATTTCAGCTGTTTTTATATAATGTAAGTGTTTTCTTAAACTTTGAGAGACCCAGACTAAAAAGCACATAGCATGTGTGAGGCCCTGGGTTCAATCCTAATACAGCAAAAAAAAATAAGTAAATGAAAATTATATCTAATATATGATGTGTGCATACATAATATCACGTGTGAAAGCCACATCACTGGGACGCGTGTCAGTTTAGGATTAGGAGACCAGAGGAAGCACCATTCTTACTATACCTAATAAAAAATCAAATTAGCTTTCCTACGTTAGAAAAAGAACAATCTTAGCAAGGCAAGTGTTCTTTTTTTTTTTTTTTTTTTCATTTTTCTTTTATTATTCATATGTGCATACAAGGCTTGGTTCATTTCTCCCCCCTGCCCCCCCCCTCCCTTACCACCCACTCTGCCCCTCCCCGCCCCCCCCTCCATACCCAGCAGAAACTATTTTGCCCTTATCTCTAATTTTGTTGAAGAGAGAGTATAAGCAATAATAGAAGGAACAAGGGGTTTTTGCTGGTTGAGATAAAGAATAGCTATACAGGGCATTGACTCACATTGATTTTCCTGTGCGTGGGTGTTACCTTCTAGGGTTCATTTTTTTGATCTACTTTTCTCTAGTTCCTGGTCCCTCTTTTCTTATTGGGCGTCAGTTTGCTTTAAGGTAGATCTGCTTTAGTTTCTCTGCGTAAGTGCAACAAATTGCGTAAGCGTAGGTGTTTTGTTTTTTAACCTTTTCTCTAGTACGCATGTTCCCTACTTTTTCTATTGCCTCAGTTGCTTTGTAAGGTAATCTGCTTAGTTTCTCTGCGTTAAGGGCAACAATATCTAGCTAGTTGTATTTAGGTGTCGTTACCTGATCTCAACCCTAACCCTTGTGTGCTCTCGCTTTATATGTCCATAGTCCAATCTCCTTGTTGTGTTGTGCCCAGTTGATCTACATGTCTCACAATAATTGAGGAGAACTATACGATTTTGGTTATTGGAGCCCCCCCCCAGGCGGGGGCCCTTTTTTACCTCACTCAGAATGATGTTCTCCCCTAGTTCCCTCCTTTACCAAAGCGAAGATAACAATTTCCGTTCCTTGGCTCATGGCTGCATAGAACTCTCAGTTGTTATAATGATACCGATCATTTTTTTTAAATCCATTTCCGTTACAGTGCTGTTGGGTGCATCTTGTGGCTGTTTCTCATAACTTTGCTATTGTGATTATGTATGTTGTCCATGGCGAAGGTAAACATGATGTGCAGGGCCTTGAGTAACAGTCTTTTGGGTATATCCCCAAGAGTGGTATTGCTTGATATCAAATGTGTAGATTCGATGTCTAGCTTTTAAGTAGACTCCAAATTTTGTTCCAGAGTGGTTGTACTTAGTCTATCATTGCCAACATGTGTAACTGGGTTCCTTTTTTTCCCCCCGCTATCCCTCGCCAACACTTGTGTTGGTGTGTTGCTGATTGATGCTTATTCTAATTAGGGGTATGGTGTAAATCTTAGTGTGGTTTTCATAATTTTGCATTCCTTTTTGCTAGAGATGGTAGACAATTTTTTTCATTGTGTTTTCTGCATTTGAATTTCTTCTTTTGAGAAATGTTCTGTTTAGTTCACATGCCCATTTCTTTATGGTTCTTAGTTTGTTTGAGAGCATTTAGTTTTTTAAGTTCCCTGTATAATTCTGGTTAGCCAGTCCTTTTGGTTGATGTATATCATTGGCAAATATTTTCTCCCACTCTGTGGGTTTCTCTATTCAGTTTAGCAGAGCATTTCTTTTGATGAACAGAAGCTTTTTTTAGTTTTAATGAGGTCCCATTTATCTATGCTATCTCTTAGTTGCTGTGCTGCTGGGGTTTCATTGAGAAAGTTCTTACCGTATACCTACTAACTCCAGAGTATTTCCTACTCTTTCTTGTAATCAACTTAAGAGTTGTGGTCTGATATTAAGATCCTTGATCCATTTTGAGTTAACTTGGTATAGGGTGCATATACATGACTAGTTTCAGTTTTTTGCAGACTGCTACAGTTTTCCCCAGCAGTTTTTGTTGAAGAGGGCTATTTCCCCCATCGTATATTTTAGCTCCTTTGTCAAAGATAAGTTCTCATAGTTGTGAGCTGTTCATATCGGATCTCTATTCTGTTCCCTGGTCTTCATGTTGTTTTTTGTGCCAGTACCATGCTGTTTTTATTGTTATTGCTTTGTAATATAGTTTGAAGTCAGCGTATTGTGATTAGCCTCCTGCATTTGTTCTTTTGGACTGAGTATTGCCTTGGCTATTCGTGGCCTCTTTTGGTGTTCCAATAATAATTTAACGGTAGATTTTTTCAATCTCTTTATATAATGTCATTGGAATATTTTGATGGAGAATTGCTATTAAACATGTAAGATTACTTTGGGGAGTATCGACATTTTTTAGCTATGTTGATTCTACCAATCCATGAGCATGGGAGATTCTCCACTTTCTATTAGGTTGTCCTCAGTCTCTTTCTTCAGAAGTGTATAGTTTTCCTTGTAGAGGTCTTTCACATCTTTTGTTAGGTTTACACCTAGAGGCAAGTGTTCTGATTAGAAAGTTCAGGTTTTAGAGGATTTTAAGCCACAATGTCATTTCTTTGTAATTTACATTCTTGAATGTAAAACATTAACAAGCTTCATTTCTTTACAAGTTCTTAAAAACAATCCCAAACTCATGTAACAATCGCGTCTTCTTCAGTCTCGCCCCGTGTTCCTCCCCGTGAGAGCCCACAGCCCCACCACCATTCTCCACATTGCCATCTGAGAAGGCGGACTGTGCAGTGAGCCAGCAGCTCCTTAGCTGTAGACTCTTAACTGTTTATACACCTTTTGGTTTTAATGAGTGAACTGCTAGTGTCCAGTGCAGCAGCTCCACGCCCCAGGCAGTGACCCAGAGTAGATTGTGTGTGTTGAGACAGGAACATGAAAGACCAGACCAAGAATCCCGCCAATCCTCTCCTCTACTGATGCAGCAGTTAAGGAACACGATGTCGTGTTTTGAAGAAGGTTCTGTATTTCAGGCACTGTGCCAGGTGACTTGCAAAACCTGGTCTATCAACCCCAAGACGTTCTTAGGAGACAGACAGAATCCCCAGTTTCCAGTGAGGGCCCTGCAGTACAGAGAAGTCATGTGCTTTGCCTGAGGTTACACACATCTATGAAGAGATGACACCAGTGTTCAGACCCACATCTGTGTCACTCCAAGCATGTGTTCATGTCACTGCTTCTACATAGAAAGGTTATCTGAAATTGAATTTTTTTTGATGGTACTAAGTTTTGAACTCAGGGCCTTGCACTTACTAAGTAGAAGCTCTACCACTTGAGCCTGTACCCCAGCCCTTTATTTAGTTTAGTTTTTTTTTAGGTACAGTGTCAAGTTTTTCCTCTAGGCCAACCTGGGCCTTGATCCTCCTACCTACACTTCCCACATAGCTGGGATGACAGGCATATGTTCCACGCTCAGCTTTTTCATTGAAATGGAGGTCTTGCTAACTTTCTGCCAGGGTCTCAACCCTTGATCCTCCTGCTCTCCACCTCCCAAATGTCTGGGGTTACAGGCACTCAAGCTGAAATTTAATTTTGTAGTAGTCCTCCTTAGTCTTAGAAGTAGCTTTTAATAATCTGATTGAAACCTGTAAGCTAACAGAGAACCATGCTGTCTTTTATCTCTTCTCCTTCACCTCAGTTGACTGCATGATTGAGACTGGAAGGTTGCAGTAAAAGAAACTTTGTAACTATTTCAATCAAACCAGTTACCTAGTGACTCTGCCAGGGATAGCATCCCTTTGTGTAAGATATGGGACTTGCCTTGAGACTTTTTCTAGTGGTTATTTCATTGTGCTCTTAATTGCCCTGCCCTTGTTTCAGGACTGGTAGCATTAGTCAGAACTCTCAGCTGAGTAATAGATAAATGTTCAGTAATTGTGTGGGTAGTAATTACTGCTGTTTACTAAGCACCTTTTTGCAGGCCTCTGTACACGTGCTTTTCTCGTTTTCTCATTTGAACCCTACAGTCACTGTTCCATCAAGTAATGGAAATGGTAGAAATGCCACATAGGTAAAACTGAGGCTTGAGAAAATTGAGTAATGTGCCCAAAGTCACATGGCTTTATAAACCAAAGAATTAGCGTTTGCATTACTGTCTGTTAAAATTTCTAGAGTTTAGTTCTGTAGTGATTTTTAAACACGGGAAAAAATCAGAAACTAAAATCCTCATCTGAAAACATACCAGCTTTAGAAAACAATTTTTACTTTAAAACCAAAATTTATTTAGAGTTCAAGTAGCATATATAATATTGGAAGAGCAGGGAAGCAATTGTCAGTAATTAGAGGCTGTAGCCAGGTGTGGTGATGCTTTTATAATCCCAGCCCTAGGCAGGCTGAGGCAGGAGGATCTAGAGCTGGAGACCAGGCTGGCCTGAGCTGTTTCAAAAGAACAGAAAAGACAGCCAGCCAGGCATGGAGGGGCACAGCTGTAATCCAGGGCTCTGGAGGCTGATGCAGGAGGATCACCAGTTCAAGTTCAAGGTCAGACTGAAATATAAAGGAAATATAAAGGAAAGTTGCTTCCCCAGGATCTAGCGCGTGTGGGGTGTGGGGTAGGGGACTCGGAGCTGTTGGCTTTCTTCCTGTTCGAGGGTCCTGTGGTCCTGGGTTAGCGGGTCGCTCGGGCTCCAGCTGCTGACCTTATCCGGACCTTTGCTCTCGGCAGGTGCAGAACAAGCTGGACGGCTGCTGCTACGCGGTGAAGCGCATCCCCATCAACCCGGCCAGCCGGCACTTCCGCAGGATCAAGGGCGAGGTGACGCTGCTGTCGCGCCTGCACCACGAGAACATCGTGCGCTACTACAACGCCTGGATCGAGCGGCACGAGCGCCCCGCTGCGATGGGGACAAGGACAGGGACGCCAGCCCCGGGCTCGGGCCCGCGACCCCCGGCACAGGACGCGCGGACCGCCCGGGCGCAGATGGACGACCTGGACCCGGGCAGCGTGGAGGCGCCGCCACCCATCCTGAGCAGCTCGGTGGAGTGGAGCACCTCGGCCGAGCGCTCCCGCTCTGCCAGCGCCCGCTTCACTGGAGGCCCGGGCTCCAGCAGCGACGAGGACGATGACGAAGACGACGATGAGCAGGACGGTGTCTTCTCCCGCTCCTTCCTGTAAGGGCGAAGCCACCTGGCACACGCCCAGGGTCAGGGATCCCCTGAGAACCCACACACCCAAGGATGGGATCCACTGAGAACCCACACCCGGGAGGAAACCTACTCACAGGGTCACCAAGCCGCTGAGAAACCCACCCAACACAGTAACCGGATGTAACCGGAAGGAATTGTTTCCTCTGTCTTCCAAACATCTCCAACATCTAAGTCTTGGAAAGGAGGAAACAAATTTCTTCCAGTTCTTCATGTTAATACACTTAAGACAGTTTCTTATAGGGCCTTCCTTTAGATAAGGGCTTCCAACTCTGTGTACTGTCTAAGAACTAGTTAGGAAGTCTTGATCTAACCACAGTTCCCAAAAAAAGGTACCAAACCCATTTCAGACCCCACCACTTACCTTCATGATTTTGTTCCATTGTATCCAGTTGGATACAATTTGTCTTAGCTCTTAGGTACTGAATTACGTGAGGAGCCAGTGTGGCTGCTTCTAAGAGTTCTGTGTTTTGGTAAGGGGGAAGTCCAAACTGAGTGCTGCTGCTGGATGGTGGTGCAGTGTCTGTAGCCTCCTTTGCTTTGTAGTAATTAGCATTGTCAATTGTTAGAATTATAGCAGGGACTTTTGGTTTCTTTAATATTTCTCTGTTTCTCTTTTTTAAGACCTGCTTCAGATTCTGAAAGTGACATCATCTTTGACAATGAAGATGAAAACAGCAAAAGTCAGAATCAGGTAAATATATACATAAATATTACATCATTGCACTCATCATAAGAAAACTGCCATCCGATGTTATAAACCAGATACAGTAGTAAAGCCTTAATCTGATATGAAATACCAATTTTAAAGCATTAATTTAAAATATAGACTGCTTGTGTTTTTGTACAGTTCTGTACCCATATCATAAAACAGATGGACTTTTACAAAAAGAAAGGAAATGGAGACACAGCACTTTTTTGTGTGATAAAAACCATTTCCTATAGAATTTGGGGGTGTTTTATGTGGATGGAGGTGCAGGTTAAATGCAAATTAGTTAAGTAACTCTACAGTTTCATCATGGGGTCACCTTGATCTCCCCTACTTCAGTTACTCTTGATTCCTTATTTTCATAAACCATCCTCTAGAAGAGGCTTTAACTGTGTCAGAATCCTGCAATGAGTTTTGAAATCAACCTTGTTTTATTTCTAATGCCACAGACAGTCTAGAGAGTACCGAAGCATACCACACTTATAGGAAAAGGAAGCTTTGTTAGTCAAACTTGTCTATCATGAGCGTGGGTACTGGGTGTGATAGGGGCTGTATTTCTTCCTCTGGCTCGTGGTTTAAATAGCTTGAGAAACACTCAGTTCTGCCTCTTCCTCTGCCCAGCCCATGCTGGTGCCTGGAGCTCAGGGTGAAGCTGGGCTGACTCTTGTTGCTGGGAGAGTTTCTGTGACTAGTGTTGTGTGTTGACTTTAGTATCAGCAGGTAGAAGGTGCATTCATAGGAGATAAAGAAGAGTACACCTGTGGGCTCAGTTATATAAGCAGTTCAGTTGATTTGAGGGAGGTCGGGATGCACTAGCCAGTGGGTTAAGTACTTCCCTTATCAGTTGAAATCCCTTAAACTCCTCTCAGTTAAATTTTTTTCTTTTTGATGGGTCTGATGTTTGAACATAGGGCTTCACACTTGCAAAGTAGGCACTCTACCACTTGAGCCACACCTCCAGTCCATTTTTCTCTGGTTATTTTGGAGATGGGGTCTCTCGAACTATTTGCCCAGACTGGCCTTAATCCTTTATCCTCCCAATCTCAGCCTCCCAAGTAGCTAGGATTACAGGTGTGAGTCACTGGCACCCAGCCTTAGTTAAAATTTTTTAATTATAAATTTAACCAGGATGGTAGCATATATAAGCTAAGCTATTGCTAAAGCAAAAGTTATGCTTGACTTTAATATTTCATGCATTTCATTATTTGGGGGCATCAGATTTATGATTCTGGTTTTGCCCAGGTAAGAGCAGTATCCCACAGGCCTTGTAAGTGATGCATCGAAGCTGCTAAGAGATTAATCATCTTCCACAGACAATCCCCAGGGTGTATAAGTGACTCAGACTGGAACCTGGTTTTTCACAGGAGAGATTTTTGATTATTTGTTTGATAAAGAAAAAATATTGAAAAATTCTTACTCATAAAAACTGTAAATCAAAAATGGCCAGGTACTAACTAGTGCTTTTTGCATCCTTGGAAATACAAGTATTTAAACACATCTATCAGAAGAAAAACAGAATTTTTTTAAAAAGATACCATGAATTAGAAGGAAAAGGATCTACAGGGGGCACACTGGTTAACCGTGTGGAGAAATGGTATGTGGATCACTTGCTGTGAGTTAAGCTGATCCTTCACAGGCATGGCCCAGAGTGCAGTGTGCCTTTTGACTGTGTAGCCACAGTCAAATTGCTTTGGCTAAGTCCCACCAAGGGAAGGCATCCCATTCATACTGAAGCCTTCAAACATCAGCCTGCATGCATTCTAAATGCCCTTATCTGTAGACATCATCAGCGATAGGAAAAACTGACTTCGCAAGGGGTCTTTCTACAGACTGTGCCATCTTTGGTACCTACCTGTTTCCCATTTTCACATTGTTCAGTGCAGTAACAACAGACCTGTAAGCTCTACAGAAGCTTCTGGTTGGAAAAAACTTGGCTTAAATTGCCACGAGCTTCTAAAAGGCAGTTGTGTTTGCCTCTCCCTACCGCAAAAGGATGGCCATGTCGGAGTGGGCACGAATTCTTGAGGATGGTCTTGTTTGACTTCAGCCTCCAGTTTGAGTTCTCATGTGTTCCTCTTGGGTTAGGATGAAGACTGCATTGAAAAGAACAGTTGCCATGGAAGTGAGCCATCAGTGACAACAGAGGCTGTGCACTACCTATACATCCAGGTGAGTTCCTGGCAGCAGCCAGTGACACAGTGGCTTCTAGTAGTTGCTGGTGGATGTGTTTCAGGGTGCTGCACCAACATGACAGACAAGTCTTGCTGGCATGGCCAAAGATTAATCTCTAGGGACATACAGCATGGAGGCCCTCTCCCTCCAGGTTGGAACTCATGCCATCCTATAGCATAACTGTTTAAAATCCATGTTATACGTTCTAACATGGATAATTACATTAACTGCAGTTATCCTCCTTCATTTAAACCTGTTATGTGATCAAGCTCTGCCTGGTTTGTTCTTGTCTGTAGATGGAGTACTGTGAAAAGAGCACACTCCGCGACACCATTGACCAGGGGCTGCATCGCGACACTGTCAGACTCTGGAGGCTTTTTCGAGAGATTCTGGATGGATTGGCTTATATCCACGAGAAAGTAAACCTTACCACATCTCATATCTGAAAACTTATGTTTACTTAAATTTATGACTATAAAAATAAAACGTGCTGGGTGCCGTGGCCACATCTGTAATCCTAGCTACTCAGGAGGCAGAGATCACAAGGCCAGCTCATGCAAAAAGCGAGACCATATCTCAAAAATACCCAACATACACCAAAAAAAAAAAAAAGTCTTATGGAGGGGCTCAACTGGTACAGCGCCTGCATAGCAAGCATAAGGCCCTGAGTTCAAACCCCAGTACCACCACAAATAAATAAGTTAGTAAAAGTAAATAATAAATAAATTGTGAGAATGGAGAAAAACAAAGTAGAAAACTATGGGTGTATTGAATTATTCTATTTTTGTAGCTAATAGAACAAAGTGTCAGAAGACAAGAAACAATACTGCATATCAAAACTCAAAAAAAATGTTGAAGGTTAGGACAGGAGCAGCAAGTTACAGCCCATGGGGCATCTAACTCCCACCAGTTTTTGGATGGCCTGTGGGCTGTATGAAATTCTAATTTCGTTGTCCATCAATAAAGTTTTATTGGAACACAGCCAAGCTCATTTGCTTATATATTGCCATAACAGCACATTTCAGTAGCTGCAACAAAGACTGTCTGTACTGAAAGGCTCAAAAATATTTGCTATTTGATTGTTTACAAAAAGTTGGCAACCTCTGGACAAGAAAGACATATTTGAATACATGCGGGATGTGGAAGGTGACCCCTTGATCAGTTTTAGAATAAAGTGCAATTACTACATACCGAGACTTGATCCTAGCTGCAGTGCTACTCTTCCTAGGACCGTGAATAAACTAGAGAGCCATCTAGCAAGTTCAGGGATGAGACTGAGAAACAGCTACATGTGTGAAATGTCATTTTAAAGCTAGAGATTCTGGTGTTACGTAAACACTACTGGGCCTCACTGAGGATGAAACTCTGCCACAGTTTAAAAATTGAATCAACTCCTGACTTTGCCTCAATTTTCTTGAACCTTAAAACAATTACACAATGCTACATTTATACTGAGGAGACAGAACTTTAATTTGTATATTCAGTCTATAAATGATTTGTTGGAGGCAGAATTTATAACATGGGAAATAAAAAGGCGCTTAAATGAAGGCTCTTAGAGCTCTTACCTGTGGCACCATTCTGGGGTCCTAGAACTATGCCTCATGTGCTCGCCTTCTCTGTAGCTAAGCTGCTCAGCATTTGCTGGTCATTTCCTGGACACAAGCATGTGACAAACCCCATGCTTGAAGGGGCTTCATATTTTTGGAGGAAGCCAGAACTACCTTCATGTAGTGGTGGAAGAGATCATACAACAAAGTGGTTTTATTATGTGTAATATTTTCTAGTATTACATATAATGCATGAAACAGTAAGTATCATGAGCCTGTAGGAAGAAGAGAAAGCAGAGTTCATGTAGCAACTACTGTGTGCTGGGGGTGCAAAGTTGAACTGTTAGAATTTTACAGAACGCTCACAAATTAATTGGCCCTTGAAAATGTTGATATGATGTGAATGAGTGCAGAGAAGCAAGAGTGTCCTGGACAGGGGAAACAGTGCCAAGGAAGGAATGGAAGAAGGAATGAATATGGTGTGTCTCCATGGCCTGAGTAGGGGTTTTGAGGCAGCAGTGGGAAAGATAATTTGGTGAATCCAATAGGGGAGGCTTGGATTTTTTCCCTAATCAAGGACTCCCTCCAGGTGGAACTGGGAGATGGTAAAGAGGTCACAGGACAGCCAGGAGACATTCCAGGGACCAGACATTCTGGACCAGAGTGGTCTACAGAAGGCCTCAAGCAGTTTTTATCACTAGGTTAGCCTTTCAAGTTAGTAAGCAGGGAGCGCAGTAAACTATGCATAGGGAGCAGCTGTTGGTTTCTTCTTCTCTTCCAACAGGGAATGATTCACCGGGATTTGAAGCCTGTCAACATTTTTTTGGATTCCGATGACCATGTGAAAATAGGTGATTTTGGTTTAGCTACAGACCATCTAGCCTTTTCTGTAAGTATTTTAAAAACTAGTCTATTCCTGAAGATGGACCCAGATGCCTTGATGATCTAGAAGTGTTAGAAGACAGGATAGGGCACCCTGACCCCTTCCGTAACCCTCAGGGAAGTAGACATGTGTGAACACCTCACTGCAAGTGATCTTTTAGATTCTAAAAGTGTGAATATGTATGTGCTGGGTGCCGTGGCCACACCTGTAATCCTAGCTACGCAGGGGGCAGAGATCAGGAGGATCATGATTCAAAGCTAGCCCAGGCAAATGGTTTGTGAGGTTCTATCTCAAAAAAGGGCTGGTGGAGTGACTCAAGGTGTAGGCCTTGAGTTCAAACCCCAGTACCGCCAAAAAAAAAAAAAAAAAGTGTGGGTATGTATGTTCTAATGAGTGCAGTCCACTTCAGAGACATAAAATTTTTGGTTTGTGAGAAGTATTTAGGTAAAAGGCATACAGTACCTTTTGAAATAATTTGATGCTTTGGTCTGCCGTACCAGGTACCTGGCAAGATGCTTTACTCTTATTTGAGGGGCTTTTGTTTAGGAAAATGCAGCTCCAAAACAGAAAACACCAGGAAACCAGAACATGTGGTCCAGAAGGTGCTAGTTGGTCACAACATGGTACAGTGGCCGTTTAACATACAAAATAAATTAATGCAAATTGAGGCAAGTAGTGAAATAAGAGCAAAAGGTAGTAGAAAAATAACTTATGGTTGTGAGGATCAAGAAAGGCTGTGTAGCCAGGTATGATGGCGCACACCTGTCATCCAGCACTTGGGAGGCTGAGGCAGAAGGATTGTGAGTTTGAGGCCAGCCTGGGCTACATAGCAAGACCCTATCTCAAAATAAAAGCAAAAAAATTCTGTTTATCTTAAATAAAACAATGTGCACAATTGGGTGCCTTTCTATAATCCCAGCCACTCAGGCTGAGGTGGGAGAATTGCTTGAGCCCAGGAGTTCAAGATCTACCTGAGCAACATGCAAAAATCCCATCTCCCAAAAAAAAGGAAGGAAGGAAGGACCTGAATAACAATTGTGGCATTTCAGATGGACCTTAAAGGTTGGGTGGGTGTCCAGCAGATTGAGGGCAGGGCATGCTGACACCAGGGCAGGGGAGTCCAGCATTAAAGCCAAGGCCCTGGGGTGAGCAGACTTGGTTGTTTGAAGACCACCTGTGATTGGATGAAACTGTGAGGTGTAGGAGACACCTACACCTCACAGAGGATGCTAGAAGGTTACAGGGTCTTTAGAAGGTTGAGCAGTCCAGTAGGTGGCAGGCCTTGAGAGCCAGGGTGTCTTACTTAACATTGTAAGCCGCTTAGTAGCCACCAAGGGCTGTATAAATGAGTTCACTTCCAGGGCAGACAGAGAGAGAAAATCAGATTTGGAGTGACAGTGAAAACAAACATCAGGGCTAAGTTAGAAGGTAGGTAGGAGTGAGAAGGTGGAAGGAGGACAGTAAGGACGAGGTTCCAACCAGAACTAGTGGGGTGGGTTGCAGTGTCCTGCGACTAAGGAGGGGCTGTGTGAGGGGTCTCAGTCTCCAGGTGAAGAATGTAACTTGATACTGGAAGTATGAACAAGTCTCACCAACCCAGACTGCGAGCCTGTCGCTGCACTGCTTTGTGGCATTGCCTTGGGCAAATTAGGGAACCTCTCAGCACTTGTCCTGTAGAATGTCCCCATCCTGGCACCTACCTCAAAAGACATCAGCAAAGTTAGAGCACTGGTAAAGCATCTGGGGCCATGGCTGGCACTAAGGACTGGAAAGGTCAGTATCCATGGCAGTGCCTATAACAGGAACTGTAGGTGATGTCATACAGTCTGGATATAGGGTGCTGCTTGGGTCAAAACCATTACAGACACAGGAAGGTGAAGCCTCTTAAGTGGTGTCAGCAGGGACAGTGAAGTAGATGTGGCGCAGGAAAGTCAGAAAGAAGAAGCTCTTAATTTTAGTACATGCTTATTCTCCTAGAAAACAGGCTCTGTTGGACATTTGTGATATGGGCGCTCATGGGTTTCTACAAGCTTTGAGTGTTTCTGTCCAGATGAAGGAGCTGGCTAGTGAATTGCTCAGCTCCCTCTTAAAAAAAATTAAACTTAAGCAAATCGTTATTTTAACTATTGTGATTTCTTCATTTAGAAATGGACAAGCCATTCCTGGAATACTATGATATTTTAATTTGCTGTTTGGCTTACTTATATTTGTAGACTGATGGCAAACAGGATGATCAGGCAGGAGACCGCTTGGCCAAGTCCGACCCTTCAGGTAAATCTAGGAGGCTGTAGATTTCACTCAGGTATTATAAGCAGACCACAGCATTTCCTCCTAACCTGAAACCTGCTTTTTACTTCTGAAGACTTTATCCTAAAGTGAATTTAAATTGCTCACTTAAGTTGTTGCTCACAAAATTATGGAAAGGCTTTAATTTATTTTTCTTTTTCACTCTATCAGTTGCTCTTTAGAATGCTGAGAGATTGGGTTAGTAGAATCACTGGCTCCCGCAGGCAGACAGCTCTACTTGTCTAATACCAAGCAGTCATGTGAGGCTGCCTGGGATCTTGTGTGGCACTGGCCTCCTGGGCAACAGTAGGACATCTTTGCGGGACAGAGGGTGTGGCAGTTCAGGACTAAGGATTAAGTGTTATTCACATGGTGCACACTGCAGATGGCTAACAGATCAGCCCTCTCTCTTTTTGTTGCTGTTATTGTACTGGGGTTTGAACTCAGGGCTTCGTGCTTGCTAAAGAGGCGCTCTACCACTTGAGCCACGCCTCCAATGCCAGGCCCCACTTTTTTTTTATATTACCATACATTAGCAGTTCTGTGGTGTTCCATTGTGGTAGTTCCATAGTTGCACACAGTGTACTTTAACCTTTTTTTTTTTTCGTCTTTTCTGTGGTCCCCTTGCTGGAGCTCGCTGGAGCTCTCTCTCTCTCTCTCTCTCTCTCTCTCTTTCTCCCACACAGGCCGTTTGACTGGCATGGTTGGCACAGCTCTGTATGTGAGCCCTGAGGTCCAGGGAAGCACCAAGTCTGCGTACAACCAGGTACAGGAGACTCTGGGGAAAGGAAAGGTTGCAGAGAGAGGTAACGGCAAGAACATGTTGCTCACAGAAGTTTGGGCTCAGTTACCAGCTGCACTGGTCAGGAGCGTTCACTCACCCTTTGTTACTCCAGGCAGGATGCCTGGTGCCCAAAGACAGGGACTGGTGCTGGCACTGTTGCTGGCAGGAACAAGTCCAGAACACAGAGTGAGACCTCTGTGCCCTCGCCCTCAGGGGCTTATCCAGTGGTGGGTGAAATAGACAGTACACAGTAAAAACAAAAGAATTAATCCTCAGCTACGGTAAGGGCTAAGAAGAAAAGAGATGGAATTCAGCAGCAAGACTACAGGAGGAGGCCTCTTCTCTCAACAAACTGAACAAAGAAGACCTCCCTGAAATGACAGCATTAGGATAAAGGATCAAAAGGGACAAACCATGCAAAGCTGGGGGCTGGGAGCAGGGTGCAGTGCCTCATGCCTATAATCCTAGCTACTTGACAGGTAGAGATAGAAGGATGCAGCTCAAGGCCAGCCAAGACAAAAAAGTTAGTGAAACCCTATCTCAACCAACAAACAAGTTGTACTGCTGCATATCCATAGTCCCAATTATGCAGGAGGCAGAGGTAGGAGGCTCACAGTCCAAAGCCAACCTAGGGGAAAGCATTATACCCTATCTGAAAAATGCCTAAAAGCAAAAAAGGCTAAGAGCATAGCCCAAGTGGTACAGCCCTTATCTAGCAAACAGGGGGCCCTGAGTTCAAATCTCAGTACCACAAAAAAGAGAAAAAAAAAGTTAGGCACTGGAGCATGCCAGGCAGGGGAAAGGTGAGCAGAGGAAATAGCAGCATAAGAGAGGACCCTGAGTGGGTGAGGGATAGCTTGGCATGTTTGCAACAATGAAAAGTCAGTGGCTACCACATGGTGAGCGATGCAGGAGGCACACAGGAAGCTGGAAAAGAGGCAGGGCTCAGGTCAGGCAGGGCTGGTTAGCCAGTGCACAGAGCCACTGAAGAATCTCGAGTGAAAGAGATCACTCTAGCTGGAGGAGGAGGTTTTGCAGAAGTCCAGGTAGAGCAGCTGGTGGCTGGCACTGGAGAGTAGAAGTGAGAGTTTCCTGATGGACCAGATGTCAGAAGAGGGATTTCTGCATGGAGGATGTTTGACCAAGGGAAGGAAATGTGGGGAGAGGTGCGGGGAAGGGAAAACACAGCTGCAGTATGGTGGTGAAAGACCTGCAGCGGAATCCAGATTCCAGCAGTGATCCAATAGTCATCAGACACCCAGGACTGGAGTTGGGAGGGAAGACCAGCGTCAGAGGTATAAGTCTAGGGGTTGTCAGCACATGGATAGGATTCAAAGTCATGACACCAGATGAGGTCACTTAGGGCAACAGTTAGAGCTAAGTTTTAAAAACTATGTCAGGCCGGCCATGTGCAACAAAGCAGGTTCCCAGGCTTTCAGGGGAAATCGAGGCCTCCTCCAGGCACCTGGGGAGGGGATGGCACAAGGACATGTGCTGTCTTTCTTCTGTGACTGCACTGCCATGTTTTGCTAGAACTAGTCACCTGATCTTTCTGTCCTCACTGGTCTGGCTTTACTCTCAGCACCTTACCTTTGCAATTACCTATAGGTCTTGGTCTATGTTTCACTTTCGAAATGATTAGTGAAGATGCAAAACAAAGCAAATTCTTTCTTCCTTTTCTTCTCTCTCCGCCCCCCAACTCCTTTCTCTCTTTTCCTCACTGCAGTGCTGAGGATTGAACTCAGGGCCTCATCACACATGCTGGGCAAGCACTTTACCACTGAGCTGCACTCCTGAGACAAGTCTTGAACATCCTCCTCTTTCACCATTATTTTCAGTCTTCACCCAGGAGCTAGCTATGTGTATAGCTAAACTGGGTGCAGTTAATTTTCAAGGAAAATGTTGGGGGAAATCATGCCAAGTATTTTGTCATCAGTCAGTCTTTATTCCTATAATTGTTAAAACAAACCATCAAATTGTTCTAGAGTGGTTTGTTTTGCACTTAGGAATACTTTATTCCAGCTAACAGTACTGATCCTCTGGTAATGCCATTTTGTTTTCTCCAGAAAGTGGATCTCTTCAGCCTGGGAATTATCTTCTTTGAGATGTCCTATCACCCCATGGTGACGGCCTCAGAACGGATCTTCGTTCTCAACCAGCTCCGAGATGTATGTATCAGGTGTTTTGGTACAGAAGTTCCCAGTGACTCAGACTCGGCACAGAGATAGAATTCGAGGCAGGAAGCTCAAAAAGTCAAATATTGTATGTCATTGCTCAGATGCAGGATCCAGACATAAAATGATAAGAATACTAATGGGACATGAGCATAGAAGAGGAGCTGTGGGGGTCAGCAGGAGGGGAAGGAGAGGCACTTGGGGTGAACAGGATTGAAGCTCATCTCCTGTGAGTGTGCATAAAGACTCTTGCTAAGGTAGCCAGTTCTCATTGGTAGTGGAATGTTTTCTAAACAGGGATGTCACCTCCTTTAAGTTGCTAAAGAAGCAGTTTTGTTAGCCAAAGACTGTCAGTACTTAGGAGGGACCTTTCACTTTGTCTTTTGTGCCATGTCCCTCTGCTTACATGCCTCAAGGATGAGAAACTTAGTTTTGTTTGGGGAAATTTTGCAGAAATTGTTAGATTATAGTTACTTTAAAAAAAAAAAAAAACTAGTCTGAGAGATTTACTCTTCATGTAAAAGAATGCAAACATTGATATTACCACAGTCGTAACTGTGGGAATGGGTTATCAGGGTAACGGGATATTTAGTTGTCAATATGAAAGATTCCTACTGAATGGACCTGGTGTAGTAATGCCGAAGGCAAACCACTATGACCAGCGGTTAAATGGGTCTTTGAAAAATAGCAGTCACTTGAATTTTTCCCCTGTGAAATTTCCACTTGTGTTCTTGAGATTAGTCATTGCTCTGTCTCTGTCTATGCTAGAAGAACTAGCATTACAGTGTGAGGTCAAGGGTGCCCATTAGAAAAAAATGGCTTTGAGGTGAAAGTGGAAAGCCCGGTTTGGGTGGTATGATTTAGATTCACATACCCATAGGCAAGGGATCTGGAGAGCCTGCCTCATCCTTACTGAGCAAGTCAAAGCAGGAGTATTTGTTAAATTAAATCATATATATTGTGGGCTGGATGCAGTGACTTATACCTGTAATCCCAACTATCAGAAGGGGAGCAGTTAGAGGTCAGGCTGGGCAAAAAGTGAGACCCTGTGTCAGCCAACAAGCTGGACATGACGGCGTGTACTTGTAATCCCAGCTACAAAAGAAAGGTTTGAGTCTGAGGATGGCCCTAGGCAAAAAGGCTCAATTCTGTCAAAAAAAAAAGAAAGAAAGGGGAAGGGGATTACGGGTATAGCTCAAGTGGTTGAGCACTTGCTTGGTAAGCATGAGGCCTTGAGTTCAAACCCCAAACTAAGAATACTCCGAGGTATTTTGGGAGCTAGTGGAATTGTCTTTCTGTACGTAGCTGTGTCTACAAGGTGTAGGAGTAAATAAAGCAGTTATCACCCAGCCTTGGTTGGAGTGCTCTTAAGAGATTGCATACTGGATGATGGACCTTTCTTTAGTCTGGAGTTCATGTTTGTTCCCTCACTTCCAAGAATAACTAAACTAAGTTGTCAAGTTCATCTTACAGTTGAGGGCTTGTTCACCAGAAAAGTAAGTGCTTTGGGGATATAGTGGGTTTTAGTGCTAATGTTTTTCTCTTACCTTGTGTTAATGGTTTGGTTTTTTTGTTTCTGTTTTTTTTTTTTGGCGGGGGTGGGAAGAATGTCTTTTTTCAGCTATGTGTTTAATAAAACTACTTTGTCTTTTCCTGACACCATTAGATTTCCTAAATATTTTGTCCTCAGAGGAGGTGCTTTCAGTAACCCAGGCTGTCATTTGGATAAAGTTTATTTTAAAATAATGTTGCAGTGTTTGGAAGAGTGAGCACGGAGTGTCAAGAAGGTGTCTCTGCAGTCCCCTTGTTAGCAAATTTTAGTTCTGTACTTGATCTTCCTGCTTGTGGTGAATAAGAGCTTTCCCCATGGCAGTTAGCTAAGCATGCTGATTTGAATGTCATGTTCTTTCAGCCCACTTCTCCAAAGTTTCCAGAAGACTTCGATGATGGAGAGCACACAAAGCAGGTGATTTTCTGATGCTTTAATTGCTACATCTGCTATCTTCAGTTTTAATTACTGTTTTACTTCTTTTTCAATTAGTGATCGTCTGCCACTCATTCTCTTGTGTTCTGGGAACAATGTGGGGAAAAATATCAAAAATAAAGCACTTAAAGTGTTATTCACTTGAATACACCACGAAATGCCAAGGCTGGCAGAAAGAATTAGACTGCAGCAGAGCTCCTTTGTGAAGTTCACTGTGCTTTTGAAGTGCTGTCCGTACCCTTGGCTCAGCCAAGGGCAAGGGGAAGGATGCTTTTACAGCTTATTGTTTTAGATAAAATTTGGGACTTTAAGAAAAAAATACAGTTTAAAACTACAATTTTTTTCTGTTTTGTGGCAGCATGGCTCAGATTGTGAGGAAAGAGTTGCGTTTTCAACACAATCTGATGTTCCGGTATTTTAAAGCAATATCATTTCCACTGTATCCTAAATATCCAACTGTGTGTCACATCATAAGCTGACACTGGCACTGAGAATATGAACGAATCGTTCTCAGTGATGCTTTGTATTGTACTTCTGATGTGTCTTTCTTAGTGCTGTTTGTCTTCATGAAACCATAAATAATTAATACTCTTTATGGAAGTTTGTTCCTTACACTGACTTGTTTTGACAATTATAGTCAAGGCAAAAGTCCCTCACTTATTAACACTGAGGACAGGAACATAAGGAGAACATTGCTTAATCTGCTACTTTTTGCTTATTGGTTCCGTGTCTGGATGGACATGCCATTTATGGTCTCCATACTTTACTTTTTCTCACCTGCAAAATAAAGGGTTAACTACCTTTTATGTATATTAGCACTAACATTATATAATTTGCTGATATTCAGCATTGATGCAGGGGCCAGGCCAGGAGTTAGGAAACCTGATGACTGAGAACCATGGCTGGGATGTTAATATGGAATCACATCCCGGACTGCTGACGTTAATGAAACGGCTTGTATCATACAACAGGGTCTTGCCAACCACATCCCTGGAGCCCACAGAAAATGACAGTCCCAGTTTGATCATCCAAGGCCAAGAACACCCAACCACATCCTCACCCACCTAATATGTGGCGGGCCTGACACATAACTCAGTCTCAGGAAGTTAATGTCACATTAACCCATTTTTCCAGGATGATCACGCCAGTGTCCACAGACCCCGGTAAAAACTTGAGGTCTCAATCCCCAGTCAAGGAGCAGACTCCAGGCTCCTTCTTGAGCCTGCTCACTCTGCCATCTGGAGGGTACACTTTTACTTTGCTTTGCATCAAAAACCTGTTCCTGCTTTCATCTGCTCTGAGTCCCTCTTCCTCTGAGACCAAGAATTTTCTAGCCCCTGGACTTGGTGACCCACATCTGGTGACATATTTTGACAAGCCAAGCCAGGAGACTCGAGGAGATCCCTAGTCAGAAGCAGGTGACTATTTTTCTGTGACTCTGGTAAGCCTACCTGGCAGTCTCTCCAAGGAGGGGGAGGTCTGTCTATTTAGTTTTACTCTGATCTGTAAAACTTGCACAGTGGTGGAGATTTATTTCTCCTCTCTCCTGTGTCTACGAAGACCAAATAATTACCCATCAGTTTGCCTTTTGTATACTAAAGTGAAACTACAGGGTTAGCATGGAAAGGCTTTGGGTTCTGTGTATTTTCTCTCCCTTGTGCTGCCTTCTTGCTTGTACTAAGATAGCATCGCTATTCAAAGTAGTTTGGAAGTTTTGTTATCTTAGCCAGCCCTAGCTAAAATGTAACATTCTATAATGCTTAGATTCATAAGACCAAAGTTAAAAATAAGCTAAAGGCACTCTTTTAAAAATCCAAGCAGTAACAAAGTTTGCATAGTATCTGCAGCTATGTGTGGACAGGTGACAAAGTAAAAAGGAACCGATAAGTATGAGATGAGGAGGTTTTTACATTTTGGATGTAAAAACATTTGTATGTAAACAGGGTTTTGTCCTAAAAGCAAGGATTGTTCCAAAATGGAAATAGGCAGGTAAGAAGTCTACAAACCTGTCTCAGAAGAATTGTGGTAGGGTTCATCATAAGATATAATTAATTTAAAAAATTTCAAACCCCTTCTATCTTGACAAATTTATAAATGATTCTCTAAAAACTTCCCCAAAGATTGTGTTAGAGTCATCCTGAGATACAGATGATGGAATATGGGTAGGGCATGAGGACCCATAAGACAGTTGTAAGTAAGAGGACATCCTCTGGATAAAAAGGTTTTTACTTGGTAAAATAAGGCTTGTCTTATAGTAAAAGACCGCTCCAAATATATCAAAGACATATAATTGATTTAAAAAAAAAAAATCAATGCTGTCTTGGTAAGTTTACAAAAGATTTCTCTAAAAATTTCCCTTAAGTTCCAGTAAAGCTGGGAAGTACGTTATCAATCTCCTCTTGGACAGCCCCCCTCTGTGGGGGCATGTTCTTCCTTCTCTTAATAAACATTGCTGTTCTTAATAAACTTTACTGTTACCTTCACTACATTTTGCATTTTGCTTGAAATCTTCTCTCACAGGAACACAAGGACAAAGTCCCCAACTGAAACTCC